TGGAGCCACCAGAAGGACCTCGTGTGATGAGTCCCTCACCCGATGGAGGGTTGGTAAGATCAACGGAGACGGCGGGAAAGCGTACAGCCGAACCAACGGCCAGGCATTGGCGAGGGCGTCCATCCCCAGAGGGGCGTCGGCCTCTGCCAGGGAGAACCACAGAGGGCAATGTGTGCTGCTCCTCGAGGCGAACAGATCCACCTGGGCCTCTCCGAACTGATGCCACACCCTCTGCACCACCTGAGGTTGCAACCTCCATTCCCCCGGGGGAAGACCCCGCCGGGACAGGCAATCCGCCACCGAGTTCCTCCACCCCGGAAGGTGCAGCGCCCTGATGGAGGCCAAGTGAGGGTAAGCCCAGGTCAGCAGCGTCTGAGCCTCCCTCAACGATCGCAATGACCTGGTGCCCCCCTGATGGTTTGTGTGGAACACCGCCAAGGTGCTGTCCATTCGGATGAGCACGTGCTTGCCCCGCAGAAAGGGCAAGAAGCGCCTCAGCGCCAAGTAGACGGTCTTCAACTCCAGGACATTGATGTGAAGCCGTGCCTGACGGGGGCTCCACAACCCCTGGACCGACCTGCACTGCCAATGCGCCCCCCACCCCCTGGGTGACGCATCCGTCGTGACCACCTCCCGTCTGGCGGGAACCGCGCCAAGCGGGGCGCCGAGACTCAGGTAGGGGACATCGTCCCAATGACGCAGAAGAGCCACACAGCTGCTCGTGACCTCCAGCTCGACCTGTCGGTGTCGCCGGGGATCCAGGCGGAAGCCGTTGAACCACCTCTGCAAGGGCCGAAGGTGGAGTAGCCCGAGAGGCACCAGTGCAGAAGCCGAAACCAGCATCCCCAACAGTCGTAGCCACACCTGGACTGGGGGTGCCGCCCCAAGGCGAAAGGCCCGGAGCAAGGACCGAATCCGGACCCTCCTCTGCTCGGTCAGCCTCGCCCGCATGGCCACAGAATCTATGGCAATGCAGATCAAATCCACCCGCTGAGTCGGAACCAGAGAACTCTTCTGCAGGTTCACCGTCATCCCCAGCGCCTCGACGTGGGCAAGGACCCTGGCCGTGGCCAGACCCACTTCGCGACACGACGGCGCGCAGACGAGCCAGTCGTCGAGATATGGCAGGACCTTCAACCCCGCCCGACACAGGGGGCTCAGGGCTGCCTTCACGCACCGCGTGAAAACTCGGGGGGCGAGAGACAGGCTGAATGGCAGAACCAGAAACTGGTACACCCTCCAGAGGAAAGAAAACCGCAGGTAGTTCCTGTGCCCCGGATGGATCGGGACATGGAAGTATGCGTCCTTGAGGTCTATGGTCGTAAACCACTCTCCCGGACAAACCACCTGAAGGACATCGCGAGTCCGAAGCATGCGGAAGGGCAGCACCTTCAGGAACCGATTGAGACCCCTGAGGTCCAGTACCGGCCGCAGGGGCCCGTCCTTCTTCGGCACCAAGAAATATGTCGAATAAAAGCCGTCTGCCTGCAAATGCGGCGGAACAACCTCTATGGCCCGTTTGTCCAGGAGCACATCTATTTCCTGCATCAGGATGCTGACCCGTGCAGGATCTGTGACCGAAGTCACCCTGACCCCCGAAGGGGGTGGGGGCCGACGGCGGAACTGCAACCTGTAGCCCTGGGACATAGTTCGAACCACCCAAGCGTCTCCGCATTGGGCCTCCCAGAGGGCCAGGTGCTGTGGTGTAAATCTACCCGCCGCCGGCCCACAGCCCTCAGGCCGTGTCCCGACGCCTGTTTGGGGCCCTGGGGGGGCGGCGGCCCCTGTCCTGCCCCGAGGATCCCCGGGGCGGTGCCTGACCTGCCCCCGAGCGTCTCCAAGTCCCTGCCGCAGCCGCGGTCTGCTGGGCGACCTGCAAGGGGGCGGCCGGACGAAACCGGCGCCGAGGGTCCCGTGCCCCTCGCGGCCTGGACTGTGGCATGGGGAAGACCCCTGCCCCGCTACGCCCACTCCAGACCTCTGCGGCTTGTCTGGACTGCCGCCGACGTTCCAACGCCCGCTCAGCCTCGGGCCCGAACAACTGGCCCGGCACCACGGGCTGACAGCGCAGGCTCTGTCGGCAGCCATCCGACACCGGGGCCTGCGCCAACCAGACCTGACGGCGAGCCACTACCAGCGTGCCCAACAACCGACCAAGCTCCCTGGACATCAGCCCAAATGCTTGCAGGGCTGCGTCGTTCGTATCGCCCAGTGCCATCCCCGCTGCGCCCGACTGCAGCATCTGGGACTGGGCTAGCAACAGCACCGACAGCGAATTGCTGGTGCGTGCCATCCGTGCCCCGATGTCGTAAGCCCGGCACAGTAAGCTGTCGGTCACCCGACACTGGGTGCTCGGACAGCGGACCCTGTCCCTCAATGCCTCATCTGGGGAGAGCACCAAAGAGGCAATGCAGTGGTCCACCGGGGGCATGCGGTCCAACCCGTAGGTTCCTGCCTCCCGCATCGATGCCAGGGTCCTGGCATCCCTACCATGGTGGGAGAGCTGTCTCGGGTCCCCCCAGCACCGCTGCAGCTCCTCCACAAAGGCCGGCGATGGTGGGACCTGAAACGGGGGCGCCGCCGGAGCCCGGCGGAAGAAGGGATTCCCCGCCGGACGGGGCACCGGCACGTCGTCCAGTCCAATCCTGGCCAGTGCCGCTCGCAGAATCGCCCGCAACTGACAGGGGTCCTCCGCCAGCTCCGAGCTTGCTGAGCTATGGAGGGACATCCCCGAGTCTCCGTGACCTCCCAGGCCCGGGGGCTCCACTACCAGCCCCTGACTACGGCCCGGAGAGGGGCCCTCCTCCTCGAGGGACTGAAACTCAGAATTTGAGGCCCTCACAGAGATCAGGTCATCCGGGCCCCCCTCGTCCGGGGCTCTGGTCAGCAGCGCTTTGAGCTGTTCCACCTCCGCCCGCAAAGAGTCCACTTCCTGGCGAGAGGGTTGCCCCACACGCCGCTTCTTGCGCCTCGTGCTGCCGCGTTCCTCAGCCGGTCTATCCCTCCGTCTCCCGGAACACGGGCGAGGGACACTAGAGGGCGGCAGGTCTGACTCAAACAGGAGGCACTCTACTTGCCGTAGCCTGTCCTCCCGCACCGCCAGCGGCAAAATGCTGCAGTTCATGCATGGGTCAGTCAGCGCCTCTCTGAGGTGACCGACGCCCAGGCACTTAGGACACAAGTCGTGGCCGTCCTCCACCTGGAGGGGAGCCCCGCATGACGTACACTCCAACATCCTTACCGGTGTGGGAGACGCCAGCGACTCCACAGGAACTGAGCGAGGACTTCGAGGAAAACTGAAGAACGCGATTCAGTCCTGGAGTTGTAAAACAACGCACGTGTGTGTGTGTCGGCTGGGTAATCTGAGCGTGCCACCACCATGGTCAGAACGTCCAGCCCCACTCACCGGTAGCGTTGTAAAACAACACACGTGCGTGTGTCGGCTGGGTAATCTGAGCGTGCCACCACCACCACGGTCAGAACGTCCAGCCCCACTCACCTGTAGCGTTGTAAAACAACACACGTGCGTGTGTGTCGGCTAGGTAATCTGAGCGTGCCACCACCACGGTCAGAACGTCCAGCCCTACTTACCTGTAGCGCTCGCCGGCCGCACCCACCTCCCCTTTCCACAGGGGAAAACCTGCGACCGCCAGCGAGCCCTATCCGAGCCGGCAGCGGCGGTCCGAACGGCGCCGGCCGGCCGCACCACCCGCACTCGGTAACAAATAAAGAGAAATAACAGCGTCAATCCACCGCCCCAGAGGGCTCCTTCGAGCGCTCCGACCACACAGTCCCGGGCAGGAAGACGCCAAGTAAAAACAGTACTCACCTCTCAAGACCGATAAGATCCGAATCACGGACTTACGGAGCGATTGACCAGCGAAGCACGCCAGGCCAACAGCGAGAAGATCAAAGAGACCCGAACGTAGCTATCGGCGCGTAATTTATAGACTTGCGACCAGGTGCGCTACGTGTCACGTGCGTGACTTTGTTTACATTAGTACTCGACCTGCGCAGAGCGCGAGGAGATACATCCACTCTGTTTACTGCCACTGGCAGTCAGGAGGGAACGAAACAGAACTAAAGTTACAAGTTACGAATCCAAAGTTACATGTGATGAAACATGTTTGAAGTTACAAAACTTGGTACAAGTTACGCTGAATATTGTCCCAATCCTAGCTCCATATTCCTCTGCATCGGAGCTCTTGCCCCGGCGTGCAGGCAGGTGCTCAGGGGAGAAAGCAGTGTGTGTGTGTGTGTGTGTGTGTGTGTATGTGGCACAGGATTATAAGGACACGCACAAAAAATTAATAAAATAATGTGGTTCAGAGCCTCCAAAAGCAACACAGCTCATGCCCACCTTTGTTTATTATGGAGGACTTTCTCGTGTACATTAAATGCCGCCCACAGGCTCGGGGATTTCCGCACACTCCACTACAACGTCCGTTTGAGACCGAACTCAAGCCATCCAGACCTACCAAACCCCAACCGTGCTGACACTAATGTGTAAGTGCCAAAAAACACCTGAGCTGTGCCACAGATTGACTGATTTCATGCCACGCTGCAATAATCCAGGCCAAAGGAAAGCAAACTAAATACTGAGTGCTGTACATGCTCATACTTGATGTTCATACTTTTCAGTTGGCCAACATCTCTGGTCTTAATTTGTATTCTTTTATTCTGAGATACAGAATTTGGGATTTTCATTAATTGTCAGTTATAATTATTAAAATTAAAAGAAATACACATTTGAAATATATCAGCCTGTGTGTGATGAATGAATCTAATATACAAGTTTCACATTTTTAATGGAATTATGGAAATAAACCAACTTTGTCATGATATTCTAATTTTATGACCAGTACCTGTAGATGGTATAGTAACTCTGAACTTCTGGCCAGTACCTTTAATGGTATTTTTGTGATTTCTTGTTTTCAGAGAAAGGAGAACCGGACCAGAACCCAGAGAACACATCACAGAGTATGAGTTAGCTTCTATACCTGGCCAGCAGGTCTAGGATGCTCTCCTTCATGTAGATGCTGCACATGGTGTTGTTGTTAACCAGTTCTGGACTAATGTCTGGCCAGCAGGGGGAGCTGGTAGGCCTCTGGGTTTGGATCCACTCACAGACCTGCTGCTGGTCATGGAGGCCAGTCAGGTGGCGCCACAGCACCGAAGAGTCACAGCCACCCAGCTCTGATGAGCAGAAGAAATCTGTTCTGACCCATGTGTTCGTAACAGCTCAGTGGTCTTTAGTTCTGATTCGGTTTTTTACCTGTGGGCTTGAGTCTGGATAAGAGTATGGCAGCCTGGCAGCTTTCATCCCAGTTCTTCACCCAATCCAGTCGAAGGTTCCTCCAGAGTTCTTCCACCTTCTCAAGCTGCCTCTGCTCCACAATCTCCTTCAGGACCTCCTCGTTGTTCGACTCCCTATAGCCCATCTGAACGAATCTGGAACATTTTAATAATGGTTTAGTTCAGCGGCTCACATGAGATCTTGGAGGACAGAAGAACAGACCAGAGCCTGCTTAGGTCCAGAGTCTCACCTGTGTGATGAAGTCTGAGCTGAGTGGGTGACAGCTGGCTGTAAGCCAAGCTTCTCCATCTTCCTGATGAACATAACACTCTTCATCTCTGTCTCAGACAGAAAAGTTGTTTTTGAGAACTCCTCCACCTGATGGATCAAACCAAACATCTCTCTTTTACTCCAGAGCAGAGAGTTTGAAAAGGTTACAGAAAAGCCAAACTACAGTTTATGATGTCACAGCTGCACAAATAGCTAAGGGTTATCATAAAACACACATCAGAGCTACTACAACCAGCGTTTCGGACAGGAGGCGGTCCAACTCACCATGAACTCTCTGAGCTTGTGATGGCTGGTGTACATGCAGATGCTGTGAAGCTGCTCCTTCACATTGAAGCCCTGTTAATAAACAAATAACACAGCTTCAGTCCTCTAGATGCTACAGTCACTGTGCTGAGCTGATGTGTCCCCATGCCCGGAGGGTCTGCTACAGGACGACTCAAACGGCAGACACAGTGGTTATTTAACCTCCTCCTGCAGAGCTAACAGCCAGCTCAGAGGAGACAACCAGGCTGGAGTTTCAGGATGATGAAACTTTCCTGAACAGCATCTTCATGGTTTTTCTTACAATTGATAATGTTTTCTAGATAACAAATTAAACATACAAATTAAACATTACAACTTATACAAGAATTCATACAACCCCCAAACCTTCCACCCACGCATCCCTTTCAAAGATACACAAAAAAATATTAATGATTTCTAACACTTACAGTTGCATCTTTATAATGTAACGATAACTAATTTAATCACAACCATCGGCCTTCTCATCAAGGGAAATTTGTAGTTCCCTAAAAAGTTAAAGAAAGGGGTCCGTGTCTCGTAGGGTGGTTCTTTTCAGAGTGAATCAAATGTTTTCATGTTTGAAGAAATTAATCGTCTCTACTCCATCTGGCGACACTTGGTGGAGGGTCTATGGTTAAATGCCCTGTGTGTGTGTGTTTTGAATGTTTTGCTGAGTTCCATCAGATGTCCATGTTGCCTGGGAATTACAACGTTTCCCTCTCCGACAATCTCCTGACTTCTGCTTCCCTCCCGGTCTAGGTTCTGGTTCTTCTTGAGTTCTGGACGGTTCTATGGGGATTCCGGTCTTCTGGCTTCGCTGTGGGTCGCTATGGTCTGGCTCATTCTCCTCCTGGCTCTGGTTTCTTTTTTATCGTGGTCCCTGACTGCGGATTTCTCTAAGTGGGATTACAATTTACTGATTGGGATATATATTGACAGCTCCACTGTGTGAGGATTTGGTTTTCCTCACTCCTGCTGCTTTTGTTGCCTAAGAACTAACTCTGTCTTCCTCTGCTGAGTCCTCGGGGCCTCTAAGGTTGTTCAACGCCACGTGGTCTTCTGTCTGTGACTCCGTGCCCTTGGAAGGGGGGATATGTAGCGTACCAAAAGGCCAAGTATTTCATCAAAATGACCAGAAGTTAACTTTTAACTTGCAGGCACAAACTGCGTCACACATCCTGGGCCACATCAGACCAGAAAAGCACTGCTCAACGATCTTATTACTGAATAAGGGAGCCATAATAAGTCCTTCCCCTAGCTCCCTTATCTTTGCTGGAACCCAAGGTCTCATGCAGAAGACGAGACTTTAACTCTCTGATTAAAGCTCATCTTTCTAATGGCTTTAAAACTTTATAATTTCATAAGTGTCATATAATCATCTTCTGTTGAATGAACAAGATGTTTAAATCCTAAGTGTATAAATAATGTGTACAATATTGAATGATGGGTTAAACTGAACATTTTTCCTGTAATGATTCATTTCAGATCACAGCTACACCAGATCAGTAATTGTTGGTTATAGTAATTTAATCTAGCAGTGAGAACACATTAATATCATAATATTATTATTAATGTTTAACATTTTTGATCCACATAACTGTTATAACATTTTCACTTCACACTCAGAGAAAACCTCTAAGTACCTGAGTGAAGTCGGGATCTTCTGAGGTATTTTGGTAACGTCGTTAAACTTGTCAAATTCTGATTTGTCTAAATTTGTAAACAACATTTAATAAATACATGGATCACTTCCTGATCTAGTCAGTTCTTCAGCTGCATCCTGGTTCAGCCGACCGGTGAGTAAGCATTAGGAACCATCCTCTCTTTTGACCCCAAGATCAAAGCCTCTGCAATGCTTGCGAGGGATTTCAGACACTACAACACCTCAGACGTGGATCATCTAACCTGCAGACCCTGGTTGAATCTCATGGCCGGACTAGAAATCTGAATTGAAAGGGAACTACGACACTTTGGGATTCCTGTGGCCACGACATCCGGTAAATCACCACTCTGGCTGCCTTTCATCTGGACCACTGAGAGCAACTGTCACACAAGGGTAGGGCTGGGGAATGAATAGAAAATTTATCGTTATCAAAAACTCTGACTCTTATCGAGATAATTTTCCCCATGTCAATAATTTTGATAATAATAAAAAGAAAATATGTGTGTAGGTTGGCAACGTTCATGTCCCTTTAAGAAGCTGTACCACCTTGAGGCACATAAAAATGTGACTCAACACAATCCACGTGACAGCCCCATCTAGTGGACAACTTTTGTTTCTGCACATACCTGTAGTTATCGTCCATTTATCGTTATCGGGGTGAAATCCTCAATATATCGTGATATTGATTTTAGGGCATATCGCCCAGCCCTACACAAGGGTATCGTAGACTTTGCACGATTGTGTCGGATGACTTTATGAATAATCTATAGCTTATTAAACCATACAGCCAAACTGATGTTATAACCCAGACATCACAAGATCTCTGAGATACTTACGAGGCTTTGCTAAAACATCTAGCTCACACTCCATTATTTAATTCATATGTTGTCCTGTATAATCGTCAGTTAGAAAAATAGAATTAAATTCATTTTTATAAAACTATATACTTGACTCGGTCTGAATTAATATGAAGAGTGTGTTCCCTGAATACTCAAAGAATCTAGAGTCTTCTGATCAAAAATACAAAGACCAATAAGATTGATAATTTATATTTATATATATTATCACATCTTATTGATCACTTAACAAATATGTAGTCAATCCGCACCGCTGCAGTGGTGAGTGCTGCTTCCAAGTGAGAAAAATTCTCCTTCTGGGTGGTAAAAGCAATGGCATTATGTGCCTTACTGGGCAAAGGGCAAGTGGATGAAGTAATACCAAATATAGAGCTCAAGGGAATTAGAACAAATGTTTTGGCCATAGAGTTTTGTGTGTATGTCAAAAATCCTGTCTTGTCCTCTTTCGCCTATCCGGGTCCAGGTCGCGAGGGCAGCATCCCAACTAGGGCGCTCCAGACCGTCCTCTTCCCGGCCACCTCCACCAGCTCCTCCGGCAGGATCCCAAGGCGGCCCTGGGCCAGTTCGGAGATGTACTTTCTCCAACGTGTCCTGGGTCGTCCTGGGGGCCTCCTGCCGGCAGGACATGCCCAAAACACCTCCCCGGGGAGGCGTCCAAGAGGCATCCTAACAAGATGCCCAAACCACCTCAACTGACTCCTCTCGATATGGAGGAGCAGTGGCTCTACTCCGAGTCTGTCCCGAATGTCCGAGCTCCTCACCCTAGCCCCAAGGCTGAGCCCAGCCACCCCATGGAGAAAACTCATTTTGGCCGCTTGTTTCTGTGATCTTGTTCTTTCGGTTGTTACCCAAAGCTCATGACCATAGGCGAGGACTCAAAAGCCTTGCTTTCTGGCTCAGCTCCTTCTTCACCACAGCAGACCGGTTCAGCGTTCGCATCACTGCAGATGCTGGCCCAATCAAAAATGTCTATGCAAACAGTGGAGAGTGTAGGACATGAGCAGAAAATATGTATATGGTCTGCTGGGTGCCCCTTACAGTAAGGACAAAAGGAGTCTGTGTTAGGGTAGATATCTGATTGTCTTGCGTTGGTGAGATGAGCTCTTTTTTGTATCAGACTATGCTGAAATACAGATTGAGGAACCAGTAATATGTCTAAGAATGATCTCCCACATTTCATCTGATATTTAAGACTCAGTTCTGTCTACTGACAACAGTTTAAAGCCCCCTGCACTGGTATGGATGGGTAAATGCTACAGCTAAAGGGTTAGCATGATGATGGAAGATCTTACCATGTTGGTGAGGAGCACCGTGGCGGTCTGCAGGTCCCTGCGCTGCAGGCATGAGAACGTCTGATGCAAACCCTCCATTCTCAGAGCTGATAGACGCTGCTCAGGCCGGTTCTGCTTCCGCAGCACAGCCTGAGCTCTGGGGATCTGATTGGTCAGGATAGATCGCTGGACCACTTCCTGTTATGCAAACCAGCACATAAACATTTACAACCAACCTCCCAATGTTCCAGAATCCAAAACCTAAACATTGTGGATCTAAATTTGACCTCTGTAGGAAGTTCTTCCCATGGATCCCTCTCCTCTTCCTCCCGACGTTGAGTAGAACCGACAGGACCGGTCCAGGGAAACTTCTTCATGTAGCTCCTCAGCTCTGTAATGTACCGGTCCAAAACTTCTACACATTTCTGCACATCGGGGTACTCATCTGCAGACAGGACAGCTTCAGCTCTTCAAACAAGGAAAAATAAAACAAAAAGGAGAGTAAGTGGAGCAGTGTGAGGCCTCACAGTGAGAGCTGCAGAGCAGCAAGCGGATCTGAGTGTTGATGAAGCTCATGGTGATGGTCAGGAGCTGCTCAGAGAACTGACGACTCTCTGCCTCGCTGTTGGAGTCTCTGACAGCGGAACACAACAAGTCCAATGCAGGGAATAGCTCCTCCAAACCTACACACACGCACGCACACACGCACACACACACACGCGCACACACACACACACGAGTATGGATAAAAGCAGGAGGAAGTCAGGCTAAACTAAGACTTAGAAAAGTGAGAATTTTAAGGGCAATATCTAAGAACAGCAGAGCACTGAGACAATCTACACTGTTGTGTGTTTGGGATTTATATATATATATATTAATAGAAAATATTTGCATAGTTAAGGATTGAATTCAACTGTTAAACTCAGGCCAGACGTTTCCAAACACAAAGTGTTATCAGCAGATCGTGTTCCATCAGCATGAGGAGGTATAAACTGCTGCCCCCTAGCAGTCAGAGTTTGAATTGCACCACACAAAAACGTTTCCCTCTAAATTCTCAATAGAAAAAATCAACACACTGTTTCTAAATATCAATTCAGCATCATAACATGATTCAATAGTTTCTTACATCCCTTTAAATGATAAGTGTGTCATTACAACACACACGGACAGCATGTCTGCTACTTTCTAACCCTTAGATTTAGAGGCAGTATCATCTTTTAAAAGAGTTTCCTTCTGTAATCAGACCTGCCAGGTCCCTGTAACAGCAGCACTAGACCACTGTCTACTGTAGTCTATGATGTGACCACGTACTGTCTGTTAGACCCAGCCTGGAGTCTGCAGGCAGATCAGCAGAACCAAGCACTCCTGACAGGTTCAAGAGGTTTCCTTTACTCTTCAGGTAAAAGTCCACTGTATCAAGCTGACGGTTCTTCAGTCCAGCCTGAAGACAAACACACACACACACACACACACACACACACACACACACACACACACACACACACACACACACACACATAAAGAGAAACAGAAATAAAACATCCAGATGGTGCTCTGCTGGGCTGATGGAGTTCCTGTTGGCGGTGCCTTCTGTAACCATACCTGTAATGTGTGAAAAGGAATGGAGCAGTGCCCCCAGCTGTTCAGGTGACAAACTGCATCCACTGTTGCTGCACTGCCAAATAACATCAGCCTGCTCAGCAGGTCCTGCTGTGTCACAGAGAACAGGATCTGAAACACGCCGGACCCTGAAGGAAAACACACACACACACACATCATTAAAATATAAATATACATAATGTATTAAAACAGCTTTACCGGCTGACGAAGATGCTGTTTCTGAGTTCGTCTTACTCTTCATCAGCAGCCTGCGCGGTCTGTCCCCACACTGCTGAACTGGAGCCGCTTCACCCTCTGTGTGGTGGTGGCTCACGTGCCCAGACTCCACATCCCATAAGGCCACTGTGGTCTGGTTGTTTCCAGGGGTCACAAAGGTCAGAAGGGCTGAGAACTCTGAAACAGCGAGCAGCGAGGGAGTGGAGAACTCAGGAACAGAGAAAACAGCCATCGTTCCACCAGGTGGAGCTTTGCTGTGGCCTGAGGCTGGAGCCAGGTGGGAATGAAGGTGGAGGAGCGAGGAGGTCCAAAATGTCCCAGCAGGCAGGGGAGAGGAGGAGGGAGCAGCTGACTTTTGAGCTTGGTTATACATGGATGACAGACGAGCTTCCCAGGAGCTGGAGAAAAAATAAAAACCAAAGAAATGAAAATAATTTTGTGGTCCCAATGTGTGGAGAGGTGGAAACGGGTTTTAAAAATAGCCCAGCACAGGACTCTAGTGAAGACGAAAGCTTAGAAAGCCAAACACACTCCTATCATTCTATAAGCTGAGCTACTTACCGGTCATCACTGAAGGGGGATCCAAGAGCAGCAAGACTGCAGCTGGAGCTGGACAAGCTATCCTGGTCCCTGGAAATCTTGGGCTGCAGAGGCAGACTGGACTGTGGAACGGGACAGAGAAGGTGATCCGGGTATGTCCTGGAAGGGAGATGACAGAAACCAATCAACAAAACCAGTCAAGTCCAGTCTGGGTCTGATACATTGAGACCAAACGGATTCAGGACCAAACAATGAGACAGCATTACAGAATACTGTACCTGAAGTAGTGGTTCAGGTCTATGGCGACAGCTGTGTGAGACTGAGTCACAGCTACAGCTGTACTGAGATCAGCTGACACCTGGACCAGGCAGAAGGATGTTGCACGACCTTCAGCCAGCCCAGGAGTCAGGTAGGCAGGCAAGTCGATGGTGGCCAGTAGAAGGCCATCTGTGATGCTGTGTATAGCTGCGGGGGCAGGGTTAAAGAAAATACTAATACAGAAGTAGCACTACTGTGTGACCATAACACACAGAAAGGAAACAGTTAACATTCTTCAGATTTCACATTTCTGTGACATGTCATAAAAGGTCCTGGCATAGAAAGAACCAACATTTGGTTCAGACTGATCCAGACCAGAACAAAAACAGTTCCTAACGTCAACTTCAGAGGAACTCAAAGAGAGCAGATAGAGAAGTGGAAGCCAGATTTCTCAACATGGGTAGGAAACACTTTTTCAGCTGCAGGTAGAACATTCAATCGGTCTGTTTTCAGCTGGAAACAGGATACAGATGAATCCGATGGCGCTGAGGATGAAAAGAGTTTCTGCACAAACACAGTGATGAACAGCGGTCTGTCTGTCCATGCTGCTCAGCTGCACACCACAACAGGACAGCACCTTCGGTTCCTCCTCGTCTTGCTGCCACTGCAGCTGCAGAAGCCAGTCCCAGTTCACCATCACACAGCTTCGGCCAGCAGCAAAGGACAACACCTGCACAGACTGCAGCTCACACACACCTGACAACAAAGAGTTCATCAGTAAATCTGCCACCAGTTTTCTTTACACATTAGAGAAGCAGTCTTACTTTGGTCCTGCTTGGTGACAACGTCCAGCAGAAGGTCTGCTGGACATTTGCAGACAAAAATCAGAGAAATGGAGGACTGTTCTGCTTCAACCTCCAGGAGCTTCAGGTGATTCTGAGACTCAACAGCTAACAAACTGAAGGCGCTGACCTCCGAGCTGTGAGCTGCCACCTCCTCCCAGGAGAAGCTAGGAACACAGAGAAGGATCTTCTTCACGGAGGCTCTCTCTCTCTCTCTCTCTCTCTCTCACACACACACACACACACACACACACACACACACACACACACACACACACACACACACACACACACACACACACACACACACACACACACACACACACACACACACACACACGGTGCAAGACACAAAGGTAACCAGGCTAGACTATTGGAGACGTAACGATGATACAGGAAACATTGGTACAAATGTTAAACTACAAACAAGAAATAAACTTTCTAAACAAAAATTGTGTTTAATGACTTCAGACCTTCCCAAGAGACTTGACTTTGGGTGTTAGAGAGCCCTCTAGTGTTCAATTAGCTTATGACATGGATGGCCTTCTACAAGAAGACTGTATAATGCCTCAGGTGCGCAGATAGGGTGGGGGACGGGGGGGATCTGACCCTCCAGATTCAGATCGACCCCGATCCGTCCCCCGCACTGAGGCCAGAAAGAAAACAAAATTGGAGGTTAAGTGCTTGAAGCTCCTTTTTCCAGTTACATTGAATGCAGCACGATGTAAACAAACACCAACTCCAGAGGCGCCAAAGTGGTTGCTGCTAGGATGCAGGATGAAGCGAAAAAGACAAGCAACGATTACTGCGTATTTAAAAAAGTGTAAGTAGGCGGGACCGATCTGTCTGTTTATGCATGTTGGTTCTAGTTTCAGTACTTTGTTGTCAGTGTTGGGACTTACTCGTTATAAGCGCCAAAGCCTCATTGCTGACTTTAACAAGTCTCATCTACAAATATGATCCCTCATGAAGTTACTACTTTACACCAGAAGATAGTGGAGATGTGGAACCTTCAGGCTGAGCAAAGTTTGGGAGTTTTTAGAGTTTGAAAATCGCCTCCCGCCGAGAGGCTCCCAGTTGGGGAGAGGAGGAGATGTGTGCAGCATGAAGAGCGCAACTATTAGATAAAACGTATAATTGCCAGCAGGTCTGGTCTTTGTTGACTGAACACTTTGTCTGGTAATGACTGAATCTGATTATGAAGCAGAATATTGACTCTGATGAAGAAATTCACTCATCCAGCCGGGAAGATCGACGCTGCTGCAGCATCAGACAGCTGGTGCTGCACGAGAGGTGTGTGGAGTTTACAAGCTCCAAACAGTGGGTTTGATGTTGGTTTGACCTTCTCTGGGACGTGATGGATGTAGAAATGATGGTAAAACACCGCAAACGTGACAATGTAAAAAAAAAGGCCATAAAAAGGAGCAGATGCCGATGCGTTCTATATGGAGTTATCGTTACTCTTCCATTGCCAAGAACCAATGCACTTAAAAGAACAGTCATTTACAGAGCTGGAATATCCTGCATCCTGAACTAATAACAATAAATGTTCATGATGCGTTTAAAGTGAATCTCAAGAAATTTGTAAAACATAAGTTTGTATCACACAACAGTTACAGCTATTTCAATTAGATTAACAGATTTTAGATTTATAGACTTCAATTAGATTTATAGAATTAACACCCTGACATTAACACTTTGTTATTGTTATTGTTTTATTGATTCATTGATCCATTTTTAAATTGTCTTTTTAGTGCTTTTTTATTATTTTGTTTTATGAGGTTGATTATAGGAGTTTTCTTGTGTTTTACTTACATTGTATATGAAATATTGTACTTTTAATCCTACACTGTCTATGTGATATTGTATGTGTTTTCTTTTTGTTTTTGTTTCTTTTATCAAGTGGACCCCAGGAAGAATAGTTTTCACTATTGTGAAGACTAATGGGGATCCTTAAATAAACAAATAAACAAAGTGTGCCTCATAATCATAAAAAAACTAAAATATAAAAATTCAAAAGAGCTTTATATAGTTATATATAAATTAAAACTTTCCAAATATAATGAACATTTCTAAATAATGTAAAAATATGAAGGAACATCTGTTGGTCAGGCTTTCAAGCAGATCACAGAATACCTCTCTCAAAACTGTCTGCTTGACCCTTACCAGTCTGGGTTCAAAAAGGGCCACTCCACTGAAACTGCTCTGTTAGCAGTGACGGAATCTTAAAAGAAGCTAGAGCGACTGCCAAATCCTCAGTGCTTATCCTGCTGGACTTATCGGCTGCATTTGACACTGTCAACCATGGCTTCCATTTGTCCACACTCTCTAGCATGGGCATCACAGAGAAAGCACATGCCTGGTTTGAATCGTACCTCACAGGACGATCATTCAGTGTATCTTGGCTTGGACAATCCTCTACAGTGCACCATCTTGCCACAGGAGTCCCCCAGGGCTCTGTACTAGGACATCTTCTCTTTGCCATATACACCACCTCACTGGGTGAGATCATTCAATCACATGGCTTCTCCTACCACTGCTACGCAGACGACACCCAGCTCTCTCTGTCATTTCCACCGGACGACCACACTGTCTGTGCACGAATATCAAACTGTCTCTCTGACATATCAAAATGGATGAAATCCCACCATCTCCAAGTCAATCTCTCTAAAACTGAACTACTTGTCATCCCAGCAAAACCATCCATACAGCACAATATCTCAATCCAAAATGACTTCCTATCTCTGACTCCTTCAAAGGCAGTTCAAAATCTGGGTGTTGTGATTGATGAACACCTGACCTTTAAAGATCATGTTGCCTCTGTTGCTCGTTCATGCCGCTTTGCGCTGTATAACATACAAAAGATCAGACCATACCTAACACAACAAGCCACCCAGCTCCTGGTGCAATCGACTGTCATCTCCCGCCTCGATTACTGCAATGCCCTTCTAACTGGTCTTCCAGGCTGTACTGTGAGGCCTCTTCAAATGGTCCAGAACGCAGCGGCGCGTCTGGTCTTCAACCAGCCAAAAAGAGCACACGTCACCCCTCTGTTTATTGAGCTCCACTGGCTACCGCTAGCAGCACGCATCAAATTCAAATTGCTAACACTAGCATACAAAGTCCGAGATGGTACGGCTCCCATCTACCTGAATCCTCTTGCAAAGGCTTACGTCTCGGCCCGGCCGCTCCGGTCATCACAGGATCGTCGGCTAGCAGTGCCTACACCACTCTCAGGACAATCCAGACTCTTCTCATGCATCGTTCCACAAATGTGGAATGACCTTCCAAGCACTACCAGAACAGGAGCTTCCTTTTCAATTTTCAAGAAACTCCTGAAGACCCTGCTCTTCAGAGAGCATCTTCTAAACTAGCACCCTCCCTGCACCCGTCCCCCCCTCTACCGTCCACTACTTGTTCCCTCCTCTCCATGATTGATGTCAAGTTGTTGTTATTGTTGTTGTTAGCCTCAAGGGCAACATGCCGATTATCACTTGTAAGTCGCTTTGGACAAAAGCGTCTGCTAAATACATAAACATAAACATAAAAGTTTGGGAACGACTGCTCTAAGTGATAAGTGAATTTCGTTTTTTAAATATATTTTATGAGCAATTTTTTTAGGGCTTTTATGTTTTCTGTAAAGATTGGTATGCTGAAAATCATTTAATGTTTTGCATAAAGCATGAGGTTTTGGTTAGTAATTGATTGGGAGAATAACAAATGACTGATTTGGATAGTGTTGATCAGGCAGAGCTTTGTAGCCAGTGTTCCATTGCACTATGGCATCAAACACATATATAATAGTGTTAGTTTTTTCCTAAACTGTCGCCGCCCGTCGTCTTCCTCCGCTTATTCGGGTCCGAGTCGCGGGGGCAGCATCCCAACTAGGGAGCTCCAGACCGTCCTCTCCCCGGCCACCTCCACCAGCTCCTCCTGCAGGACCCCAAGGCTTTCCCGGACCAGATTGGAGATGTAACCTCTCCAACGTGTCCTGGGTCGACCCAGGGGCCTCCTGTCGGCAGGACATGCCCGAAACACCTCCCCAGGGAGGCGTCCAGGAGGCATCCTGACCAGATGCCCAAACCACCTCAACTGACTCCTTTCGATCCGTAAACCATTGGATGAAATTACACAAACTGACTGAGCTCTAGTTAAGGCTCTTGCAATAGTGTGTATATGTGTACGTGTGTGTGCATTTGGGGGGAGGGTATATTGGAACTCCCCCCCCCCCCCGGTTTTGAAATCCTATCAGCGCCCCTGTAATGCCTGATCCATCCCCTAACCCTGACCATAACCAATGCTGGTCTAAACACACACACACACACACACACACACACACACACACACACACACACACACACACACACACACACACACACACACACACACCTTGCCTGCACCCGTCCCCCCTCTCTACTGTCCACTCCTTGTTCCCTACTCTCCATGACTGATGTCAATGTTGTTGTTGTTATTGGTGTTGTTAGCCTCAAGGGCAATATGCCGATTATCAATTGTCGCTTTGGACAAAAGCGTCTGCTAAATACATAAACATAAACACACACACACGGATCACTTTTGAACTCACTCTCGAAAGCACCCTTCCACTGCAACCGGAAGGGCCTCTCTGTCAGACGGATCCCACAGCTCCAGCTGTCCCCTAACATCCAGGCAGCAGAGCAGCGAGCCCCCATAACACAGTTCAGCCTTCTGGATGTCCCGAACATGTCCGAAGTGCTGGTTTTCCGGGATAACAGCCACCTCCATGGAGCTACAGCATTCGGCCGCATCTAGCATGTTGTAAACAGTTAAAGGAAGTGTTATTAATTTGGGCTGTTACATTTTTTTAGCTATACTATTGAAAAACACACACTGTAAAACAGACGCATTAAAATTCGGACATTTTCTTGTGTCACAAACTGCCAACACAGAAGTCACGTGACGGTTTGCTTGAATCAGGTGATCGAAACTGACCAATGAAAGGAAATAAAACTAAACGAATCAATAACTGATAAAACAAGTAAAAATAAATAAATAAATGAGCTCTTGTTTATGTTTTAAAAAATCAGATTATCTTTTAATGTATTTACAAAAGGTTCTAGCTCCATGTTCTTGAAATTATTTTAGAGCATAGACTTGCTTAAACCTCCAAAAATGGCACGTTTCCCGTTTACGTTTCTGTCGATGGTTTCAGTATTGAACTGTATTCTTAGTTCACGATGTCTCGCAATAGTTTGATGCGGTCGTTAAATGATAACCCTGAACGTGACTTAAAATGAATTCATAGAAAACTGTGAACTACTTTTATGTGTTCTTGTAATTGGCGCTATTTCAAATCGTTGATCGATGTGTTTTGTCTGAAATTCGTCCGTGACGTAGTTCACGCTCAGTGGAGCGTGTGTAAACAGCAGATCTCTACACACTTTTACTGCCAGTGTTTGTTATGAACATGTTGACGGATTGTGTTGAGATCTACAGCGGCTACGTCCCGTCCGGTCCTGTCAGTCGCTCATCTTTTTAGTCGGTTTCGTTTACAATGGCGTTTTCTAAAGAATGGAGTCCGTGTTCAGCCTCATCTCATTAACTGTTACTAAGGTTTTACAATTGTCAGGGTTCACTGACAGCAGGGATGTCCTGAGGACAAGAAAGATGGAAGAGAAAGCGTTGGAAGTGTACGGTAAGTTTCTGACCTCGCGTTGTGAAGTTAAGCAGCGACTAGTTTCGGGCTGTTGTTTTGTCCGCGTCAAGGGCATTTTTATTAATAAATGTTATCTTTTTTAATTCAATTTTCTGTCACCACATACTCTTGGTGTAGTAGAGCCAAAACATACAATAAATGTATATTTAGAAACATGTACATCATAAATAGCTCAACATTTATTTCAGATTTTTGGGGTCGTTTTGTGTGTATATTCAACTTGTAAAGGCGACTAATTGTAGTGGCGGGTTGAGTTATTTTGGGGCCGGAGGCAGAGCCCATAGGTGTTTCTCAATGTCAAGGCATTGCCTTGGTAGGTCAGGCGCCTTGCTTAGGTCAAAGAAAACGGTTTAATGGAACGTCACGTGACACGCGAGGTAAGGTTATGTTTTGTTTGTATGAGTTTTATTATAGATGTATAGCGAGCCTTTTAGTTTTTTAATTGTGAATAGATTGGTTAAATATGTAAGCAAGTTAGTACCTGCTAGCCAACGAAGTTGCAACTAACCCACCGTCGATAACGGCTTTGGATCTAAAAACATTTTAGATATCAGGCGGATAGCTACAATTAGTTGACTTACATTTAAACAGGACATTTGCACCCGAGGTAGCTGCTGGCTTCTCGTCCACCCTCCTTCTGAAAATACTGCACTGGGTACTGGGAAATTTTTGAATGAGAGAAGGCAACAAGACGCCCCCCGTGTATCCTTGGCCAGTTAGCTAGACGGCTAACAAATGGAGGACAGACACCTATGTAGCACATGAACATGGAGCAAGCCTTAGCCGTTCCTGATGATGTATCTCCTTGGCAACTGGGATGGGACCAGGGCATCAAGGGGTGGTTCCTTGACATTGAGAAACACCCCATGTTTGGGTAGAGCCCTTATTATTCTCCCCTCGTGTCTGTCCTTTCCAGTCTGTGTGTTTTGGAGCATTAAGATCTTGATTAATTTGGTATTTAGCTGTGGAAATAAACAACCACCATCAGTGCAACCCTCATACTCATCCAGCATCTAGGAATTCTTATAGTACATATTGATGAACAGATTTTATCATGTTGAACTCTGTTAGATGTCATTCGAACAATCAGAGACCCAGAGAAGCCCAACACCCTGGAGGAGTTGGAGGTTGTGACGGAACAATGTGTGGAGGTCCAGGAACTTGGAGACGATGAGTTCCTCATTATAATCCGGTTCTCTCCAACCGTCCCTCACTGCTCTTTGGCTACACTCATTGGTGAGTCCCTCTGCTGTCAACCTGTCGCAGACATCCCAGTCAAACACTAAAAATATAATTCTCTAAAGTCTAAACAGTTAGAGAAAAGAAAAAGTAGAATTGTTGAGTTCAAGTTTCCTGACTTGTTGATAAAGACCTGGCGGTTGATCCATGGCTCCTGGGGATCGGCAGGGCTTAACTTGAAAATTCCAGTTCATGACATCCTGTCATGTTTCAGGCAGAATTAAAGCAGCTGCTGTGAGTTGGAGCAAAGTTGGAGTTGGGTTAAAATAAACTCTGAAGTTTTTTTTTTATTTTAAACTTTTTGGATGAGATGGGATAAATAAATAACAAGTACAGAAAATAGCTAAAAGTCCACAGTCCCATCATTTCTTTCAGGGATTCATCGCATACATAAACAAGTAGGGAGTTGGTTAACAAGCTATAAGATCAACCGTATAACTGATCATTTAAAGACCAAGGTCACTCATTTTTTAACACATGCATTGGTCTCTATTGTAGATTAATTGATCTCTGTCGTGAGTTGACCTCTGTGGGTAAAATGCTCTGGCGTTCCTGTTTCAGGAGCTAGAATTTAGCCACAGCAGAGTTAACATTCAGATGACAGGATCTGGAGGCTTTTCCCTGATATTCAGACATCTTGCTTCTGATTGGCTAGCAGCAACACAACTCTACCACTGACTCTGTTCTGCATTGATGGTTTATCTCCACAAATAACACAAGCCTGAAGAAGTTCTGCCATGTTGTGATGTTGCTAAGGCTAACAGTTAACTTCCACTAGCCAAGACATGCTCTGCTCTCTCCTGGATGGTAAACCAACAACAACCTTCCTAGTCATGAGTAGGGTTGGGCATCATTTCAATTTGAACGATTCCGGTTTCGATTCCAATTCCTTGTTCCAGTTCCGGTTCCATTCAATTCCTAATTCAGATTCTTTCAAGAGGCAGAATCCAAAACGTCAGGGGTGTGGGGGATCAGCTGCTGCCTTTCCTACCCTGATGCAGGACTTCAGGACTGAGTTTGAAGCTATTGCTTCTGTGACAGGACCTAGGTTGACTTTAATTTCAGACCCTGGTTGTTGAGTTTTAAATGAGACCTGTTTGTGGTCCATCAGTCAGTTCTAACTGGTAAATGTGAATTATTCACTCTGTTTTTTGTTGAACTCTTCACCTCTGTCTCCCATGTAGAGCTACAGCAGGCTGATTCTGTCCGGGACTGATGCTCTTTTTTCATGGTTTTGCAGGTTTGTGCTTACAAGTGAAGCTCCAGCGATGCTTGCCATTTAAACACAAGGTAAGCATCAGCGTGACTAGGACTGAGTCAAAGCAGCCAAGTACCAACAGCCCCCTGGTCGGCCAGCCGTGTTATTTTACACTTTGATTATGGAGGGTCGTCTCCTTTTAAAAAGGCAGAAGAGGGACGTAGTCTTTGTTTACAATCTGTACTGCCTCCATACATCCTGGTTCTTGAGCCAATCATATGCGAGTCTGTGGGTTCTCCAGTTCTGTGTCGACATATGTAATTTGAAACCAGCCAGCAAAAAGCAGCAGCAGCATCGTGGAAAGTTTTTTAACCAATAAAAGGAGTGACCCAGAAGTCGTTGCTTGTACCCCTAAGAAGCCACGGCATCCTTTTGTTTTACTCTAATATCGAGGAAAGAAGGCTGTAGGCTAACATTGAGCCAACAGTGAATTAGGAAAAAAGTGGTCGGCTCTAAACAACAACGCGAGCTAATTTTTCAGTTACCAACAACTAAATATTTCTTACTGTGATTCGTCATCTATAATCTTCTATTTCTGATCAGTAACTGGCTGTGGTTGCTAAGAGTGGACTCGTTTGTTTTGAAACATGAACTTGCTCCTTTCTGGAGCCAGCCCCAGTGGATGAAGGGGGAACTGCAATTTCTTTCATTTCCGTGTTGGCGTTACTTTTGGCAGGCGGCGTGTGCCCCTTGACCCATGCACAGGAACAAAAGTAAACGATTGGGTGTATTTCCAGTCATTTTTGGTTGTAATTTGACTTTTCAAAAACGACTGTAATAATGATCTTGTATTCACTTATGAGTTGGTATTCTTTCTCTTTTTAGTTGGAAATTTACATTTCAGAAGGAACCCATTCTACAGAGGAAGATAGTAAGTTTTTGTCTTTTATTACAGTAGTGGGGGTTTGTTCTGTACTGCATAATAACAAAACCTATTGTTTCATTGTTGTTGATGAGGGCTGGGCAATAAATCGAAAATGTATCGTTATCAAAATTTCTGACTCTTATTGAGATAATTTTTTCCATGTCAATAAATTTGATAATAGTAAATGAAAAGCTGTGTGTAGGTTGGCAACATTTATGTCCCTTTAAGAAGCTGTACCACATTGAGTCACGTAAAAATGTGACTCATCGTAATCATCGTAAACATGTGACAGCCCCATCTAGCGGACAACTTTTGTTTCTGCGCAAACCTGTAGTTATCTTCCGTTTATCGTTATTTAGGTGAAATCCTTAATATATGGTGATATTGATTTTAGGCCATATCGCCCAGCCTTTATATATATGTGTGTGTGTGTGTGTATATATATATATATATATATATATATATATATATATATATATATATATATATATGTATGTACATATACATACGTATTTATATATGTAGATATGTATACATGGATATGTGTATATATATATATATATATATATATATATATATATATATATATATATATATATATATATATATATATATATATAATGTATATAATGTATATATATATATATAATGTATATATATATATAATGTATATGCATATATATATATATATATATATATATATATATATATGTATGTATGTATGTATGTATGTATACCGTAAATCCTCTAATACAGGCCGGTATTCAATTAAAGGCCGGGTCTCCAATTTTGGCTGGTGCCGGAGTCAGCGGAGGTGATTAATGGCCGGTCTCTTATTGTGGCCGGGTGGAATGTGGTAACAAGCAAATATGAGTGTCTCAGCGGCAGGGTTATAGTCCCCAAATCAACCAGTAGGAGGCAGTAGAGGTTCACACAGACCTTTATTAGGCTTTTTCTTCAACGCTTTTTAATGCTACAGACACGATCCTCTATCACGCTCCTACCACACAGAGTCACGGTGTCAGTTAACCATGCTAATTCAACCCACTCCACAGAACACACATCACCTTCCCTGTGGCTTACATAACACTCACACAACACGCAAATCAGCACATAGGAACTAGCAGAATGATAGGAAACACATATAACACAATACCCAGAATGCACCTGGCTTACAACCCCAGCCAGGTCATTACACTATCAAGTTCAAAGAGAACATGCTGATTATGCTGCAGAACACTCTGGGGAGCAGTAGCAGGGGTTGTATGAACTAGTCGACTTCACTATAGTGACTTTTTATGCCTGTCGTCGACTAGTCGCTGTCACGTGATAATGACCGGCAAGATGCAGCCCTCGGAAAAGACAGCAGCCTGCTATCAGCAGGTGACCAGCTCCTGCGCTCAGGGGGGCAACGCACTGTGTCAGAGCATAGGTACTGACACGCGATCGTTCATGTCGGTTCATTTCCTTTAATGTTTTCTGTCTTTTATTTGCGCCTGATGTGTTTCGCTGCTGTGGAGCGGGGCACATCACCTTGTCCTCCGACTCACAGATCACTGATGCGGCCGCCAAGCAGGGAGAGCTCCGCTGTTTTCGCGGTCGGTAGATCTGCCTCCTGAGCACGGCCACAATCAGGTGTCGCCACCTCAAAAACTAATTTAACACGCGATCGTTCATGTCAGTTCATTTCCTTTAATGTTTTCTGTCTTTTATTTGCGCCTGATGAGTTTTGCTGCATGCTGTGGAGCGGGGCGCTGCGCGCATCACCTTGTCCTCCGACGCAAATTCCACTACCTCCGCTCCGCTCCGACACAAACGCCGGAGCAAAATCGGTCCCGTTGTAGTCAATCAGAGCAATTCCACTACTGCGGCCGTGCTCCGGCAGTGCGGCGCCGTGCGCCGCCCTCTGTTCCGGCGTCCGGCAAAAATAGAATCGATCCTATTTTCGCCGGAGCACCTCCGCAGTCAATGGACAGAAATCACAACTGCCCAACAGGAAAAGGAGCAAGCACAACTTCCTTTTTTCACAATAAATCGATAAACAAAAGGCGTTTTTTGTTTCATATGCACAGGTTTAACAACTTTTAACAACTATCAATGGCGGCTGAACTTTAAATGCACAAAAATAAGCCATAAATACAGTTTCTACTGTCAAAGTAGTTGCCCTTTGTTGATCCAAACTCTGCTGATCTCTCAACACAAATGATGGGCAGATTAAACAGTTCATTATATGCTTCTCCCACACAACGGGTGTTTGGATCTAACTTCCGCGTTTATTGCTCGGACTGTATGATACGGCCGCCAAACAGGGAGCGCTCCACTGTTTTTGCGGTCGGTAGCTCTTTTAGAACTGCAGTTCAAAGGTAACTCATGAGGTGAATATATATGAACCCAGGTAGCAGTTTCTCTTTAGGATTGAGAGGAGATGCAGGAAGATAATAAACAGGCAGGACAGAAAAATAGTCAAATAAAAACAAGTTAGTTTTTGTACCTGGTGGTTGCAACAAACAGACACCATTGAAGGTAATCAGAAGTGAGGAACAGAAAACGAAATAATTATTTTAATGTTTAGAGCAGCAGGAACTCTGAGAGGCTGCAGGCGCATCAGTGAGTTTGCAGCCGCTGCGCAGGGGGAGGGGGGAGGGGGCTGAAGCAGGAACTACCGTTGTTAAAAGAAATGTGTTTAACTTTGAAAATGTGGGCGCAATTTTAATTGTCTAAAACTCCAGTGAACCATTAGTTCACTTTGCTCAAATAGAAATAGAGGCCTGCCTCTAATACTGGCCCTCCTTCCAATAAAGGCCTGGAGCTTGATGAGCTTGAGTCAAATACAGGCCCGGGCCTGTATTAGAGGATTTACGGTATATGTATATACATATACGGTATGCTTGAGTCAAATACAGGCCCGGGCCTGTATTAGAGGATTTACGGTATATGTATATACATATACGGTGAATATGTGTATATATATATGTATATGTATGTATATATGTATATATGTATATACATATATATACACATATTCATATATATATATATATATATATATATATATACATATATATATATATATATATATATATATATATATATATACATATATATATATATCACGATAAGAGTCGTCTCAAGGCACTTCACATAATAAGCATTCCAATTCAGGTCAGTTCTTTAAGCCTATGAGAAATAATGTTTCGTATATAAGGAACCCAGCAAATTGCATCAAGTCACTGACTAGTGTCAGTGACTATACAGCAATCCTCATACTAAGCAAACATAAAGCGACAGTGGAGAGGAAAACTATATATATACATGTATATATATATATATATATATATATATATATATATATATATATATATATATATATATATATATATATATATATATATATATACAGTTGTGGTCAGAAGTTTACATACACTTGTAAAAAATATAATATAATGGCTCTACTGAGTGTCCCGTTATTTCTAAAACTGATTTTTCTCTGATGGAGTGATTGGAACAGATACTTCTTTGTCACAAAAAACATTCATGATGTTTGGTTCTTTAATGTCTTTATTATGGGTTAACAGAGAAAAGTGATCACATTTGCTGGGTCACAAATATACATACAGCAACATGAACTAGCAATTTTGGTGACAGAAACGTGTCAGTGAACTGAGCTTCATAGCATGGCCTCTTAACTTCTTGTGAGTGATTATGAGTGACTACAGCTGGTGACTTCTCTTAGGCCAGGTAAATAGGGCTCATTGGATACAAACGCCCACAAACGCTACAATGGGAAATTCAAAGGAGCTCAGCATGGATCTGAAAAAGCGAATTATTGACTTGAACAAGTCAGGAAAGTCACTTGGGGCCATTTCAAAGCAGCTGCAGGTCCCAAGAGCAACAGTGCAAACAATTGTTTGTAAGTATAAGGTGCATGGCACTGTTTCATCACTGCCAAGATCAGGAAGAAAACGCAAGCTATCACCTGCTGCTGAGAGAAAATTGGTCAGGAGGGTAAAGAGTGAACCAAGAATCACCAAAAAGCAGATCTGCCAAGAATTAGAAGCTGCTGGAACACAGGTGTCATTGTCCACAGTCAAACGTGTTTTGCATCTCCATGGACTGAGAGGCTGCCGTGCAAGAAGGAAGCCCTTGCTCCAAAAGCGGCACCTTAAGGCTCGACTGAAGTTTGCTGCTGATCACATGGACAAAGGTAAGACCTTCTGGAGGAAAGTTCTGTGGTCAGACGAAACAAAAATCGAGCTTTTTGGCCACAATGCCCAGCAATATGTTTGGAGGAGAAAAGGTGAGGCCTTTAACCCCAAGAACACAATGCCTACAGTCAAGCATGGTGGTGGGAATATTATGCTGTGGGGCTGTTTTGCTGCCAATGGAACTGGTGCTTTACAGAGAGTAAATGGGATAATGAAGAAGGAGGATTACCATCACATTCTTCAACATAACCTAAAATCATCAGCACGAAGGTTGGGTCTTGGGCGCAGTTGGGTGTTCCAACAGGACAATGACCCCAAACACACATCAAAAGTGGTAAAGGAATGGCTAAATCAGGCTAGAATAAGGGTTTTAGAATGGCCTTCCCAAAGTCCTGACTTAAACCCCATTGAAAACATGTGGACAGTGCTGAAGAAACAAGTCCATGTCAGAAAGCCATCAAATTTAACTGAACTTCACCAATTCTGTCAAGAGGAGTGGTCAAAGATTCAACCAGAAGCTTGCCAGAAGCTTGTGGATGGCTACCAAAAGCGCCTAATTGAAGTGAAAATGGCTAAGAGACATGTAACCAAATATTAGCACTGCTGTATGTATATTTGTGACCCAGCAAATGTGATCACTTTTCTCTGTTAACCCATAATAAAGACATTAAAGAACCAAACTTCATGAATGTTTTTTGTGACAAAGAAGTATCTGTTCCAATCACTCTATCAGAGAAAAATCAGAGTTTTAGAAATAACGGGACACTCAGTAGAGCCATTATATTATATTTTTTACAAGTGTATGTAAACTTCTGACCACAACTGTATGTATATGTGTATATATATATGTATATACATATACATACATATTTATATATGTAGATATGTATATATATATATACATATATATAAATGTATATACATATACACACATATATATATAAATGTACATATAAATGTACATATATATGTAGATATGTATATATATATATATATTATATGTTATATATAAAACAAAACAATAAATTCATGACTCCGCATTGGTTTCAAACACATGTATTAGAGTTTTGCTGCTACCACCACTTCCCCTCTCAGGCTGCCCCACAGCCACGCCCCCTCCCGCCTTGCTGGCTCCTTGAAAACAACTTTGTTTTTTAACTCTGCTAGCCCAGCTGATTCAGCAGTTTGTTTGTGTTACTGATTTTTTGGTGCTTTTTCACTAGTCTCATGTTCTGAGTGGTGAAAATGATTAATTTCTCCAGTTAATAAACAGATCAACGATAAGGAGCGGGTGGCAGCCGCCATGGAAAACCCCAACCTGAGAGAGATTGTGGAGCAGTGTGTCACTGAACCTGATGACTGAAGGGCCCAATGCTACATCAATAACTTTTTTAAGTGCGTGTGCATGAGTGAACACATGGAGGAGGTTGGATGCTGGAATCAAGTCCAGCCTTTAAAGACAGCAGCACCAGTTGTTGCTGGTGAACAGCCTGGTGTTCCAGAAGAAGGTGAATAAAGGAAGAAGAGAACACACCTCCTGCTCTACTTTTATCTCTCAACTTTCTCTCCATCATTCCTGCTGTTCACCATTCATGTTTAATCAGAACAGAATAAAAATGGCTGTTTTTCATTGCATTGACTCCTATTAGATCTTTTGTAATTCCTCAGGTGATTACCTCTAATTTGATTTCAGAGTCTGGATGTTTAGGATGGGGTTTTATAAACAGAAATGAAATGCAAATAAACTCAGAATAAAATAATCAGGTTTGAATATAATCCTGTCTCCTGTGTATTTGAATCAGAGTAAGTGTTTCAGCAGTGCTTCCTACAGATAAAACGTTATTTTGCACACATCTTAGGTTTATTTATTAAGCACTTTTAAGTGCTTCTCAGACAAGAACAATAAAACTGATACAATGATCTTAGAAATAACTATCTCACACACACCCATTAACATCACTCTTAACCATATAAAACAATATAACATTAATGTCAACATATATTTTCTCTGAGTGCACACACAAACACTGATTATACCTCCACAGTAATATTTCATACAGGTCACACGAGCTGTAATGAGCTTTTAACTATCAAGTACAAAATGATACCAGCCAGGTTTTAGTTTGTGTACCACTCTTCAAAAAGCTGATTTGGATTGGCTGCATGTGTCACTGTAGCATCACTTGATCTCTACATTTATGGGATGCAGTGTGTTGATGGATAAAATAATGGGCAGATGAGATGTGTGTCCCATCTCATACAGACCCCAAATAAAAGAAGGTGGTATGAGACTGACTCCAGCGGCTCAGAGTACATGTGTGATTATGCACAAAATGTCATACCATCTTTTAAAATAGCAGGGCTGGATTTTGAGTTTGCCAATATTGGTGTCCCCCTCTTTTTGCCCCTAAAGTGATTTTGCAGGTATGAATCTCACACCGGTTGTTCAAAGTGCATATTTGATTATGTTCAGAATAGGGATGCACAATATATCTGCATCAATATCGGTATTGGCGGATGTTAAGTCATTTTTTAACTTATTGGTATCAGTCTGATAAGTAAAACTGGGCCGATATTAACAACTAATATTTTTTCCATCTAGTTTCAGTTTGTGTATCTGTTTCAGAGGATGAGGGGGGTGCTGATGTGTTATTGTTTATTCATGTGACAGAGATGGTAATCATCTCAGAAACATATGACAAACACACACACAATCTAGTTTGCACTTTATAGAAATAAAGCAAGACATTAAAAAATTCAGTTTGCATAATTTTCAGTCAACAAAATCTGCTGATTTCACAAGCATAAATGTCAGTGTGTGTATGTATATACATATCGGTATCAGCAACTAGTGGTTATGGACCATAACAGCGATATTGTTATCGGCCCAAACATTCCTTATCGGTGCGTCCCTATTTTATAATATACATCATCCACAGACTTCTCCCCTAACATAGGTGGCATTTTGAGTTTGCCAAACTGGCATCTTAACTAGATGACGTGTATTTTTATAACTTATTTAATATCACACTGTGTAGTATTTGTTGGTTGTCAATAATAACACATGCTCAAATGACAGGAGCCCAGAAATATTGCAAATTTTAATAAATAAATAAATAAATATACGGATCAATTATTTTCCATGGGGCCCAAACTCCCTAGCAGCGCCCTTGCATCTGGGTCAGGTCCTGCTTGTAAATGAGAACGTGATCTCAAACATTACCCAGTAAAATAAAAGCTCCCCGCCCCAGGTCATATGAGCTCATATCCACAATACCCTCGTGATCTTTTCCAGTTTTCAGTTGGTTTATCCGGACTTCACTTCGGCATATCTAGGTTATTTATTTCTATACAAACCAGGAAGAGGATGGTCACCGTTTGCGCATGTGCAATGCGACCCACACGGACGTATAGCGCACGCTGGGTAGAGAGGCCACGATGCTTTTACAGTCTGTGGTAATCCCGGGACCTAAACGTGAACCGTAAACCTCCGGTGCTGACGGAATCACTGAACCCGGATAGTTCGGTAACAGAGATGGCCTGCAGCGCCCAGGACTCCACTCTAATCGGTCTGTGTGATGGACAGTTGGACCCGAAGAGACACCGGTCCTCATTTCTGACGAACAAAGTTGGCGGAGAACCGGACTGGCCTCCGGTCTTCTCCCGGTTGTCCCCCCGCTGTGGTCTCTGCGGTGGCCTTTCTGTCCACGTGGTGCAAGTATACTGCCCCCTGCAGGCCTCTCCGTACCATAGAACCCTGCACCTGTTCGCCTGTCCCCGCCCGGACTGCAGCGGGCGGTCTGAGTCCTGGACGGCGCTCCGGTCTCAGAGTCTGGAGGCTCCCGGCCGGCCGGGGCCACTTCCAGCGCCCGCTCCGCTGGTGTCAGACTGGTGCGAGTCCGCTGATGACTGGGGAATGGAGGATGGTTTTGATGGGTGGGGAGGAGGACCGGACCGGATTCAAGATCCGCAAGAGCTGGGAGGAGGTAGTGTTTGTTTGTTGGTGTGTGTGTGTGTGTTGAGGAGGTAGTTTTTTTTAGTTGAAAACGGTAATGTTAGAACCGATAACGACCCTTTAGGGTTGGGTTGGCTCGAGCCAGCACCTCTGACAACATGTAGAAGTGTTTGTTTATTTATTTGGCAGACGCTTTTATCCAAAGCGACTTACAATTTATAACCTATAGGGCATGTTGTGATCTGTGGGGGAAACCGGAGTACCCGGAGGAAACCCACACATGCATGGGGAGAACACGCAACTCCAGGCAGAAAGGCCGCAGCCGAGCCCAGTATCGAACCTGCGAGGCAACAGTGCTAACCACTGTGTCACCATGCAGCCATAGAAGTGGTCAGAACCATGTCCATCTGAAAGGTCTGGGTATGCCTAATGTTCTTGGTTCTTCTACCTCCAGAGGTGCCTCCAGTCTGTGATGCTGACGTCAGCCAGCAACTTCAGCACCTCTGCTTGTCAGAATCAGGAGACCCACCTGTCTTCTGTCCGTTCTTCATTAATGTGGTGGAGGAGTCCGACCTGTATGGAGAAGATGAGGAGCTGGAGCATGCTCAGGAGCTGCTCAGAGACTATGAGAGGAGGGAGAAGATGGAGGTGGGGATGCTGGAGGAGAGCAGCTGCAGCATTGAGAAGTACGAGAAGACCGACGCCAAACATGGAGACGCAGCGTTCTCCAGGTTTATGAAGACCATCTCTCTTTGCCCACAGCAGATCCTGCGATACTGTCGAGGTGGAAAACCCGTATTTATCTCCAAGCCACCATCCAGCATGGCTCAGCTGCTGTCTGCATGCAGCTCCTGTGGAGGATCCAGAACCTTTGAGCTGCAGCTGATGCCAGCTCTTGTCCATTACCTGCAGAGGAAGGACAGGAGCTCAGAAGCAGAGCTGGAGTTTGGAACTGTGTTGGTGTATACCTGCAGCACCAGCTGTTGGACTTCAGGGTCAGAATCTGCTGTAGAGGAGTTCTGCTTTGTTCAAACAGACCCAGACCAACAGCTCTTTAAATGAAACAGCAGGTGGACATGTATCAGAGGACGCGTGGTCCTTCCTGGAAGTCCAGTTAATACAAAGAGTTTGGTGTTTTCAGAAGAACAGATCTGGTCAAATGACTCCCAAGACACAAAAAATAAAGTTGTGAAACTTTACTTCAGCATTACAAAAACCAGAACACAAGACAGAACCAGGATTTCGGACCAGCTATTCTAATTTACATTTGTATTTGTCACCTGACCTGATGACCTGTATTAAAGCTCTTCCAGAGTAAGGTTTGAGTTTCTGTCCCTGAGAAAAACCAGGGAACTCCTGCATCTGGCACCACGGGCACGGTCAAATGCTGCTGGGTTGTTTTAAAGCACTTTACAGATCAGCTGTGAGAAGGTTGATGAAGCAGCTGTAGAACTACTGCGGGTCTCTGCAGAAGTGCAGGGGTCGGGTGCTGGACTGGTGCTCCCAGTCATGCTGGTTGTACTGGTGGGGCTGTGAGCAGCTGCTCAGAGAGCCAATGTCTCTGTCGATGATCTCATTGACTGAAACAAACAGAAAACAGGTTTAGACATTTGTCAACAGACTGTACCAGTTGCTTCTGGGTTTAATCACTAAACAGGCTCAGAGGGAGAGGGGTCCAGAGTCTGGGGGCCACAGCAGCAGACAATCTGTCACCTTTGGTCTTTAGCCTGGTGCTGCACAGCCGGTAGGGGCTGAGAAGATCACTAATGTAAACTGGTGCTTGTCCATGTAAGGCCCTAAAAACCAGAACCAGGATCTTGAACTACCAGAGGAGAGCTGTAGTTCTGAGGTCAACCACACGAGGATGCAATGAGCCAGCTGCTTGAAGCTCTTTCATGAGACATAACAAAAACAAACCGACTGGTCTGTGGTAATGTAAAATCAGTCTGGTCTGATTCAGAAAAAAAGTTATGAGATCAGCTGTAGTAGATGGACCTGAAGCACATGGAGGAACATCTACAGCCCAAACAGGTGGAGGAACAGGTTTTACTGCAGCCATCAATCTTGATCACATCTTATTTGAAAATCAAGAATATTTGACCCAGTCAGATCAGACTGGGTTGTCGGGCTTTTCTAATCCTAGAGTTTCACCGTCCATCAGAAGCTAATGCAGGAGATCGGTGTAGGAGACTATTTTCATGTTCAGCCTGCATGAAAAACCCAGAGTGACCAGTTATAATCAGAAATAATCATTTAAAAATGTTTTCTCAGTGAAGGACCTCTTTAAGTAAATTAAAAGGTTTATGTTGAAATCTAGCTTCCTACCATCATCCAGTGTGATCTCTTGAAGACCCAGAGATCGCAAGTTAGGCTGGTTCCCCGGCTCCTGCTTAATGCTCAGCACTCCTCCTGGACCAGCAGGCAGGGATTCCTTCTGGCTTTCAGCTGGGATTGTCGAGATACCACCAGAACTTAAAGAGGGACACTGTTTCAAGAGCAGTCCACCAGGGGGCATTTGACAAGGGACGCTAATGGTTTGAAGGGGGACAGAAGAGGCCTGTCCAGGAGGTGGGATCCGACTTTGAAACTGAATTTGCTTCAGAGCTTTATGTGGAACTGCAGAGTTCTGAGGAAAGATTAAAGATGCCTGAAGGGGGAAGGAGGATGAAGCAGGATGGCGCAGAAGTGGGGGAACTGGGGAGGAAACATAAGCCACATCTGGTCTGAGCACCTTCACCTCAGATGGTGGCTGACAGAAGATGTGGTCCAGCCCCCAGGGCTCCTGCTTGATTCCTGACTGGGCAGGATGAGGATGTCTAACTCCAGGTGAGTAAGTAAAGCTTTGCATTAAGCTTCTTCTTCTCTTTCCATTTGAGACATAGAACTGGACTTGGACAGCAGAAGTAGTCTTCTTGTGGTAAGGAGGCACCTCAACCGTGATCCTGGACTGAAAACATACAGAACATAAACACAGCTCAGCGACTCGGAACGTCTACGATCAGGAGAACATCTCTGTATAGGCATTTGTCCCATGATGGTGACCTTGATCTAAAACTGACCCCACATCAGAATTGCATCTATTGTTTTAGCAGTGAAGTAGAGGAGCTACCCAACTTGTGACTGCGACTGAAACAAAACATGGACAAATATCTCCGATGGATAAAGCCACACAGTCAAGTGAACAGGACAACTATACACTCGCACAAAACGGGGTCTAAAATCTAACGCATAATACTTTAGACAAGGTCTAAAGTAACTTTCTACGCAGACTTTGATGTGTAGAAAAACATGACGGGATGATACGCACAACATTAAACAAACCTGGACCCGAACGTAGGCACACTTTGTTGTTGGAGAAACTGGCAGCGAGATGACAAAATGGGGAACTAGAGCCAGGTTTCCAGACTTGTAGACCCTCACAAACACACAAAACCAAAACCCCCAGCGAGGGTAAAACTGACAACCACAATAATAATAATATCGCAGTACGTTCAAACGCACGTATATAGCAGTTGCAGTTATTGGTGCATTAATTCTGAGAAGGTGCGTATTAATAAGTGTGATTATTGAGTAGACACATGACTGTCACAGTAACACTCGTGCACATTGCTTCAGAATGGATGTGCTGGCCCATGGTGATGACTGGCTGATCACCCCATTTACATTCTCTACAGAAGTCTTATTTAGTAGCCGTGCTTCCACATCTTTTCTTACTTCGTTACTTTTTTCTGGTAGGACTCTGGCATCCACCTCCCACAGTGGTCTTCCATCTGAAGAGACAAAACAAAAACATCACCAAATTTCAGATATAACCAAGGGTCCAGCTGTAACTAAACTGTCCAGACAGTTTGTGTCCTGCTGACCCAAGTTATCAGTAATGATTTCCTCATTTAAACCATCAACATGTCTGCTAGAGTCCACCTCAGTCCAGGGATGTTTTCATCTTTAACACCATTATTATGGATCTGATCAAAGTCTTTAGTCAATGTTTAGGGTTAGTTGTGGTTGTGTTGTAGCTGTTGTGTGGTAAAGTGTCTCGGGGGGGGCTCTAACACTTTAGAAGGCCATTAATAAACATGGGTCATTTACCATTCCTCAGGGTTTGGTGCTTGGACCCTTACTGTTCATCTACGGTATGAAGTAGATAAGCTGCCATTTATGCAGTGCTTTGACATGACTTTTGTTGTGAAATGATGACATATAAATAAAGTTAATTAAACTGAACTGAATATAAATATGAAGATAAACAGGTCCTACCAGGCCCCTTCTCTAAGAAGACAACTCTGGACTGTGTGGACATGTTGGATCCAGTGATGCGTAGCTCCTCTCTTCCATCTTCACAGCAGCTGACTGGACAGAAGTTCTCCACATGTGGAAGCTCCTGGCCTGATCGCTGGGCTGGAAAAAAACAGTAGTTTGTTTTTCAGCTTTGGTCTCTTCGGGCCTGACCTGAGCAGCCAGATTATAAAAATATTTATGATATTAGGAATGGTCTGAGTAAACGCACTCACAGCACTCTACAGGAACAGATGCCGTCTGCAGCCACAGCATCCGGCCATCCTGCTGAGGCACAGCCACTCGGAACACAACTCGTATCCTTGTGTTCTTTCGCCCAATATCAACTTCTCCTTTCTTCAACTCAATGTCAGCATTACGCAGCTTCAAGATGCCAGCACAGTCAATACTAGAATAAGGCAAGGCAGTTTTATTTATAGAGCACATTTCAAACACAGGGCAGTTCAATGTGCTTTACAATTAGCAGAAATGGCACAACAACAACAACAACAACAACAAACACAAGAACACAAATTAAAATATACACAGATACAATTATAATTCAGAGCTAAAAGGAAAAGACAGAGTTTAGGTTGAGCAATTACATCACAGATTACAGTGGAGACGATGCACCATAAGAAACAATTCATTCAGAGGCTGATGAGTACATTAGGGTTTTAAGTGTTGATTTAAACAACACTAGAGTTGGGGCACATCTGAGTTCCAGGGGAAGCTGATTCAATATGTGAGCAGCATAGTAACTAAAAACATCCTCACCCTGTTTGGTTCTGACCTGAGGTTTGTTACCTAAAGATCTCAGAGCCCTATTGGGTGTAAATACAGGAATGAGATCTGACATGTATTTTGGTCCCATGCCACTGAGTGATTTATAAACTAGTAGGAGCACTTTTGACATCTATTCTGTGGTTTACTGGTAACCAGTGTAGGGATCTGAGAACAGGAGTGGTGTGCTCCATTCCCTTAGTTCTTGTTAAGACTCTAGCAGCAGCATTCTGAACAAGCTGCAGTTGCTTCACAGCTTTTTTGGGAATACCAGTTGGGAGACCATTGCTGTAGTCCAACCGACTAGAAATAAAAGCATGAATGAGTTTCTCCAAGTCTGGCCTGGACATGAGACCTCTGACTCTGATGAAGGTGTTAAAACGCTGATTTAGTTATAGCCTTAATATGTCCAGAGAAGCTCAGGTCGGAGTCAACACAAAGATTTCTAACCTGAGTCTTTGTATTTATTCCCCTGGAGTCCAGCTGAGCAATAACAACCATTAAATCCCTCTTGTTGCAAAGACAAAAACTTCAGTCTTGTCTTTGTTTGGTGGAAGGAAGTTTGACTGCATCCAGTCGTTTACTTGTTCTAGACACTGACGGAGTGAGTCCAGCAGACGATAGTCACTAGGTGATAGGGCTAGGTAGATCTGGGTGTCATCAGCATAGCTGTGATAGGCGATGTTATTAAATATGACCTGACCCAGGGGGGGCATACAGAGATTAAAGAGTAGCGGTCCTAGAATTGAGCCTAGGGGGACCCCACATGTCATGGTGATCCCTAATAGAGACAACATAGCCCCTGTCTTTAAGATAGGATTGGAACCAGCCAAGCACTGTGCCTGATAGTCCCATCCAGTTCCAGAGTCTGTCCTGAAGGATGTTATGGTCCACAGTATCAAAAGCTGCACTGAGGTCAAGCATCATCAGGACAGATGCTTTACCCATGTCAGTGTTGAGATGAATGTCATTTAATACCTTGATCAGTGCAGTCTCAGGCCCTGTCCACACGTAGCCGGGGATCTGCCAAAACGTAGATATTTTTCTACGTTTTGGCCTGTCATCCACACGAAAACGGAGTTTTTTCACACGAAAACGGATCTTTTTAAAAACTCCGGCCAAAGTGAAGATCTGCGTTTTCTCCGTGTTGGGTGTCTGCGTGTGGACAGACAAAACCGGAGTTTTAAGGTCCGCAACGTCACTTTCCGCGACAGAAAAATGCTGACATCACGTGTGCGACCTGTGTTTACACTAGCCGACAGCATGGATGCCCTCAGAGCTGCGCTCGCTTTATCAATTGTCCAAGCGCTTTTTGCTTGTTTGTTTTTGCAAGCGGAATTACTGCTCCTTGCGGAAGACCACAGACGAAGGACGAGGTTAAGAACGGGGGAAGTACTGCCGCCTACAGGTCTGGCATGTCCTTAACAACGTATTTATCCGGGTACGTGTGGACAGAGTTTGTTTTTTAAAACGAGGTGGTGTGGATGCAAGTTTTTGGAGGGGCGGATATTCGTTTTTAAAAGAACCCAGCTACGTGTGGACTAGGCCTTAGTACTGTGGTGCTGTCTAAAGCCTGACTGGACAGTCCATGTTATTTGACTCCAGAAAGTTGTTTATTGGGATCATTACTTCTTTTTCGTTAATTTTCCAGATCACGGGGAGATTAGAGATCGGTCGGTAGTTGCTCAACACTGAGCGATCTAGCTTCCTCCTCTTTAGAAGGTGTTCCACAGCGGCAGTTTTCAGTGGTTTAGGAAAAATTCCTGACATTAAAGAGCAGTTCACAATTTCCAGTACATCAGCTTTCAGACAGCTAAAAACATTTGTTAAGAAGTTTGTTGGCAGGCTGTCCAGACAGCAGGTACAAGAATTCAAGGTCTTTAGTAATAAAACACTTGAGGATATAGTAATCAGTATGAAAGCTGGCATTAAAGCCAGGTTGTTGCTGTGTGGTATATGGTCAGGTTGTGTTAGTTGACATAGATGAATGAATGGCTAATCTAATGTTTGTGCTTTTGTCAGTGAAGAAAGATGCAAACTCATCACACTTAGTCTGAGATCTGAAATCAGGGGCCAACTGTGCTGGGAGATTAGTTAGCCTCTCGACAGTAGCAAACAGGACTAGGGAGTGGTTAATAAAATAAAACAAAAATGCAAAGAGAAATTGGTTTTATGTCGTTAATTGTTCTGATGACTTTTTAGCAACAAAGAAAGGAAGTAGACATAAGCTTTGGCTAGCATAGCATCTAAACAGCTTTAGAGGGGCCAGTCCACATTCCTGATGGCTACAGAGTCACCACACAAAGCCAGACTGATTCATGCTTCTCCGTCAGCTCCAACAGGGAGAGACACGCACGCACGGACGGAGGTGTTTTGCCCTCATACTTCTCCGTCTCCTGGAGAGTGTTGCATAGCTCCCCACCAGGCCAACAGAGGGCTTAGCACTGTTCTGTGGTATCCTGTCATGTATCCGGTCCAAGATAGAGACTTTTTAACAGACAAATTTGTCTCTCCTCCTCCTCCTCCACCTCTTCATGCGCTCACCACCTCTAAACCCATGTTTCCTGTCATTTCCGTCCACAAATAAAACGCTTGCTGCGCATCTTTTCACTCCTCCAGTCACGGGGGAATTAAACGTTCATGCTTTTAGTTTTTTCGCGAGGTATTCTTCAAGCTTCTCTGTGTCTGCCGCTAGTTATCCTCAGCACTCTTTAAGTTTTTGAGGGTGCAATGGCGGCAGTGTAGACGACAGCGGTATCCTGACCAATCACAAGCTTGTGTTGTCCGTCTCGACGGACAGATGTTTAGAAAAGAGAGCTCGACTCCGTACGTCCTTGCGGAGCTCTCCAGTAGGCCCGCAGGGACAAATAATGGCGTTGCATGTCTCCGCACTGACGCAGAAGGAGAAGCATGAATCAGGCTTAACAGGTACAACAAGATGTCACATGTGTAAGGTTATGAAGTTCATTATTTTCAGCTCCACACAGCTGCCCCTGTACACAGAAACACCCGTGTAGAAAACGCCAAGGTCGGGTGTTCCTCAGACTGTTTACATTCCAGGAGAAGAGCCAGAAGGAGAAGAAGAAACTTTTCAATAATCAAAGTACTTAATTTGTGATTAAAGCTAGTCGAAACATATGTTGATCAATAATAATCAAGTGAATGATCTGTGGAATAAAGATGTCATGATTTATGTGTTTAATGAAAACAGGACTACTGCACAGACAGACTGACCTTCATCTCCATAGAAACGCATGACACATTGTTCCAACCAATCAGAGCTTTCGGCTGCCGCAGGAGAATCTGGCTTGTTGACTTAAAGTGTCCAATCCGCTTTACTAAAACTTATCAACAATTCAGAGATATAAAACAAGGCAACGCCATTTTAAGCTCAGTTCCATTTTGACTTCAGTTCTATTCACCGTCATCCCAAAGAAAAGCACAGCCTGGCCAGATGTGTTTTCTTCTTTAAACTAAGAACTGTGAAGTTGGAGATTTTCGTCGTTTAACAACCAGACGACATCCTTTCAAAATAAGAGCACCTGCTGACGCTGCCGATGGTTACCTGGGTCGACCCTTCAGACGGGCTTTGACGTGCTGCAACCGCTGCTTCGACAGCTCCAGTACACATCCGAGGTTCTTCGACCTGGCATTTCCTGATCTACCTGGGAGGCTCCCCACTGGGTACGTACACGGCAAAATAGCAGCTCATGTCATCACTTTATAAGCCTCGTGATATCTAGTCATAACAAAGACTACCAGATTCAATGACGTCAGCCTAAGGAGTCTGAACCAACCACACACACACACACGCACCAACACAACATCCAAATCCATTTTCATCCATCACAGAGTTAGTCCTGGTAGATTGTTAAGAATTTATAATTAAGAAATTAAAGATTCTCAAACGATCCCAACTCTCTCTTTTCTTGTCTCAAAGTCAATACAGAGTGTTTAATTAAACTCCCTGATGATAAAAACAGCCTATTCTTCTGATTATAAAAAGTGATCTACTTACAGTGTATTAAAATACAACTCTAGATAGTTACATCACTCTATTTCGTTACACATGACAGACTAAAATCATCACAGCTACGTTAGCTCAGCCACTGATACCTTGCAGACATGTTGTTTTCTGGAAGCAGAGGGATCTCCAGGACTTTGGAGCAACCCACCATTTTCTCCAGGCACATGGTGGTCACCGTCTTTCCTGTGACTCTGTGGACTTGGTAGAATGAATGTGGACGAAGGCATCGGTCATCTGCTGCACCGATGAACAACAGGAGGTTGACATGATGCTTGTTGTATCCATTCAGCTGCAAAACCAAGAGACGGAAAAGACCTCAACATGGAAAACAGGTCGGCTGTAGAATGTAGAAACCGTGGACTGGCACTAGAGAGTTAACGGTGATGTAAATGCATCTCATGAAAAAAGAATCACCAGATAGCATTTTGAACTACTTTTACACAAAAATCTGAAGGTTTTGATGCCAGAAAAAAGGAATATCAGAAGAGCATAATGCCAAAGGAGTCATGGCAACAGAGGCGGCGTGGCACACTAGGTCAGATCTGTTACTAAACAGGTTGAAATTGTACCAGAAGGGTCCAGAATCAAGTCGCTTGTTTGCCAAGTATTCAGTCAAATTAGAAGATTCTAAAACACCAGCTAGTTAACCTTCACTTCAACACACTACTGCACAGCACAGGGCAAACCTCCAGCAGAACCAGAACCATAATGGGTGGCCTCCTTCCTGCACTGACTGGGCTCTGAGAGGCCAAGAAAGAGACTGATGAGGGTTTGCACTACTCCTCACAGCTCAGCCTGACTCCACTATTTTGATGGTTTTCCATTACAAGTGAGAAACAGCCCTAGGGTGGTACCACCACAAAGCACGAGGTGGCCTGCACCCAACGCAAAAGCAGTGCCAGGTAATTTGTATGCACACAAAAACACAACACTACAACGGCAGACATGCTTGGTTGATGATTAAAACCACCTTTTGGCTTTCATCAAATTCCTTAATGTGATTCATCTTGAGGTGACAAAAGAAAGTTCTAGTATTATCTATGTTCGATTACTGTCAGCCGGCATATTTTTTCTGCTCAACATCTGACTCCTTAAATCCAAACCAGGTCCACATGACCGACGCTGCCCCGTCTTCTCTACAATCTGCCTCTGGACTCCACGCTTGCAACCAAAGTGGGTGCAACTTGATGACATCATCAGCATGTGCAACAGCGGCAGACCAACAGAGTCTACCAGAGTGTAACGTTTCTAGTATACCATATATTAGAATATTAAAAGTAGAGGGGCCAATAATTTAACCACAAATAATAAGGAAAACAAGAAGTGACACAATTTAGCTCGCTGGAAAAGGCAACAGGTCAGGGAGAATGAGACCAGCCGAATAAGATAAACATCAAGTGAAAGTAGAATACAGCCCTCTGCGTGTCATCCTCTCATGAACAGGTGCTCTACAGCCACAATACGAAGCAGAAGAGCTGGAGCACTCAGGTGAGTACCAAGATTTATATCGGATGCAAAAACAAAATAAAAAAACTCTAAAGACACATATAGTGTCAAAATGTGAGTTACTTTTTTTTTTTTTTTTTTACATCCAATAAAAACAGTTGTACTCACCTGAGCACCCCAGCCCTTCTGCTTCATATTCATATATATGACCTACTCTGATGACCGGATGTCCTCCAGTCGCTCCTTTGATGGATCCTCTGCTGCCCTCGGTTTCATAATGTGCCCTGTGGTAGGACTTTGGCTGGACCTCCAGTTTTAGCTCAGTCTGGCCATACTGGCTAGGCAGAGGCCAGTCCAGAGGAGGAGGTGATGAAGGGCTGTGGAGGAAACACACAAACAATGTCTCATGATGCCTTATGACTCCAACCTCACTGCCCATTCATGAAGGTGGAAATAAAGTAATGAGTCAAGTCAAAGGGACCCCTAATGCCAGTTAATAGACACTCATACAAGCTTCACAAACTCCAGTCTTTAAGGGCTAGCCTCCTGCATGTTTCCTGCTCTATTTCGCCTATACCACACCATACCACTTTATAGTGCTTTCACCATGGCGTTACAACAGACTAAAGCGCTGCACTTGATTAAACAACACAGGTAGCAGTAGTCAAGCGGCATTTAAAAAAAACAACCAATAAAACAAACCAACATCCACAGATGTAGAATTAAACAACCATGGTGGAAAGAAAGATGATTTAGCATTTGAAAGCCAGGGAGAAGGAGTGTGTTTTCAGGGGGTGCTTGCGGCCTGCCTGACCTGGAGAGGTAATGAGCGTTGCACCCGTGGGGGTTTCAACACCCACACTTTTCCAGCCGTTTTGCTCACCTCCACACCAGTCTGGTTTCTCGCACTCACTCTGTTTGCCTCATCTTCTTCTTCCCGTCGGGTTTCAAGGAGAAACAGGAGAGGGAGGGAGGGAAGAGCTCGACTGAATTCATAATTTTACATCTTGACTTTAGCTGTACAAACTCTGAGTTTGATAAAGTGAAGAGCAACAATTTGCAGAGGTTTATAACAGGCGCGGTGCCAGGTTTTCATTTTTGGGTGGGCCACGGTCATTTTGGACGGACCTTAATAAGCAGTGACAAGTGAAGCAGGCAGGTCGCGCTAGAAAATTTTGTTTAAAAAGACGTCATAAACTTTTTCCCCCGTCATTTTTATTTCTAAAATATGAAGTAAAAACTCCCAATTTAATTTTCATTAATATTTAGTCTACACCAGCGCGTTGAGTGGACCGGCACCATGCATTACCTGCACTTCTAATTTACCTCTCAACGTAGGACTCTTTGGGTACATGCACACCGGTAGTTTTTACGGTTATTCATGCGGCAAAATCTCCGACATTTTAGAAAAAAAAAAAATCCAACGATCTTCCAGTAAAAGCAGAGCATCCAGCCCACCTCTCCAGATGCGGAAAATGTGCATCACAGCTGCTAGGCGCGCCGCGCGCACCGGCAGCCCAGACAAGAGCAGAGAGAATAGACAATTCTGTCTGGATGTGGATGGAGATTACATTTTACAGCAGCCTGATCATCATTTAAATACGTAAACCACCACCTGTCTTCTAGTCCACGCTATCAGCATTATTTTAATTGGTGTGTGTGTGTGTGTGTGTGTGTGTGTGTGTTTTCCACTTCAAACACTGGTCTAACCAACCAGACCAGCGTGTCCAGTAACATATTAACGTTACAATTAAACAGTTTCACTCCATGTAGGCTAGGAACATTTCACCTGCCGTGGCCCGACCGCTTCTGCTCCACAAAAACTTTGTGCGTGATCAAACGTCTCTACAGATGCTTTCTGAGCTGAACAGGGGCGTGTCCAGGGAGTGGCCTGGGGTAGCACATGCCACCCTTAGAATCTGATTGGCCACCCAGGTGCCACCCTACTAAGTTCCAGTTTAAATTGACTTTACATTGTCAACAAAAGGCGTGAGTTGTAAACTCCAAAAATAGTGTGTGGTAGCATGCACCTTTAACGTTGTCTTCTAGCCCAGGCCTACAGAACATTTCTGTAGTATTAATATTATTTATTATTTTTTCATATTCACATAAATAGTATTTAGAGTCACACTCAACTCCAGTTGGTGGCAATAATGCAACAAGAAGTGACTTGCTAACCACCACAAAACTAGAAGATGAATAGAAAAAAATGGCGATTGTGCAATGTGAAACTCCAAAATTCACTAGAAAGTAAATAAATAAACAATTTGTGTAAATAAATAAATAAGCATAACCATTGGTGCCACCCATGCATAAACAAGTGCCCCACATGGGCCACCCCATTTTAAAAGTCCTGGACACGGCTCTGGAGCTGAAGAGGCTATTCTGCCTCAGACTGGATGCGTCATGCGTCTCCATATTAGAGACGGGAACAAGCGCTGTTCAGCCAAAGTTTCATAATCAGAGAACATTTTTCCAAGTGACACATCCCTCAGAGAGACCGGCTTTCCAGACCGTTTCAGTGGGAGGAAATCTTATCGCATGCGCCGTGGTTCTGCACTGCGCTGCGAACCCCTCTACAGATCTTCAGCTCACTGTCCACCGTGTGCGCTCCGATCCGCGCTGATCACAGTGTCCAGTATAAAGCTCTGATGTTCTGATGGGAATCATTTCTTGATTGATTTAGTTACCTCCGCGATGTGCATATGGGGAGTGTCCAGGGAGTAGCCTGGCCCAGGCTGGATTAACCATACGGGCAACTGGGCAATTGCCCAGGGCCCACAACCCTAAAGGGGCCAGGGCAGCAAGGGCACGAGCAAAATACTGTATCTGTAATCTCCCGCTTCATATTAAACTAGGGTGACCATACGTCCCTCTTTTCCCCGGACATGTCCACTTTTCACTCTCTGTCCGGGCGGGTTTCTTGTATTGATGAAAATGTCCGGTGTTTCATCCAGGAGCAGGGACCGAATTATGGGGGAGTTGGATATCCTACACATCCAGGGGAGCCGGAATAAACGTTTTATACCTATATTACATCATTCATGGACTCTTTTGAGCAGAGAGAGCACATCTAGTGATGATCGTTGGTGCGCAGCACTCCAGGCTGCTGCGTCCAGCGCACGGTCCATTCTCAAAGTGGCGCAACCAAAAAACTATAATTAACACACGGTCGTTCATGTCCGCACACGTTCTCTACTTTCTGTCTTATTTGTGCCTGAAGCGCTCTGCTACTGCGGAGCTCATCACCTGTGCTGCGGTGATTTCACCTCACTGACGCAGCATCGAAACGCGCTCTCCACTTTGTGGTCAGGAGATCCCTTTGATCTGCTCAGAAATAACTGATGAGGTGAAAAAGTAAGAATCCAGGCAGCAGTTTTTCTGGAGAGTTTAGAGGAGATGCAGGAAGATGAGAGACAGACAGGACAGGAAATAGTTATATAAAATCAACAAAACAAAGTAAAATGTAGGTAGATTTATCTCCACTACATGTTTTTACCTGTATAAAACAATAAGTTATACACATGTAATATTTGTACATCTGATACAATTCAGATCACCTTCAAAACTCAGTCACACACCCAGGGCCGTTTCAAGACATTTTGGGGGCCAAGGCAAAATGACCACCCCCACCCCCCATAACTGGGCTCCCCAGAAGCCTCTGTGCAATTCATACCCTGTCCAGGTGTATGAGTTATACAGTGTTTGTAAAAGCCACTCAGACATCGCTGACATGTTCTAATATTATCAGATGAAAAACTAAATGATCAGACATGCTGTCTCATCTGCTGCTTTTCTAAACTTGCTAAAAGTAACAAAATATTTGAAAACCACTATTTGTGGATTCTCTGAAAGTTTCCATGGAGTGTGTGACAACTTAATTTTTCATTGATCCTATCGTCTAATCTCACAGCTGAAACAAGCATCCTTAATAATCCGTGCACAGGAAGCTTACCGATGCTGTAGTAAAACAAAATGTATAATAATTTATTATTAATAAAACCTTGTTGCAGCACTAAAGCAGAAAAATGAGATTTTGCAATAAATATGCTAAGTATTTACATATGAATTGTTTTGGAGCCCTTTAATTGGCAGAATCTGATATTAATTTTAGTTCTTACAAAAAATGGGTCCCAGCGTGGTTTGTGTGGCGTTGCCGTAGTGTGACGTCATAGGCACAGATCCCCTGTCCTCTTTTTTGGAAATGGAAATATGGTCACCCTATATTAAACAAACTGTCCACCCGGGCTTTTGCGCTGCACAGAGACGCTTCGCTGCCAATGACTTTGAACGTCAGTTGAGAGTCAGTCTCATGCAGACTGACCAATGAAGAGAGGGCCTCAAGTTAAGACCCTTTCCTCATTGGTCAGTCCACACGAGGTGTGTCAAAGGTTACCCTGAGGGGGTTACGTGATGTCAGGCATTCAAGTATTGAGTATATTTACTGCATATTACAGTAAAATATTCTATATGTGAGCATATTATGGTGATCCATGGATCGTGATGATGGGGCCCTTTAATATTGTTGCCCAGGGTACAACAAAGTGTTAATCTCTTAGAATCTGATTGGCCACCCCAGGTGCGACCCCACTAAGTTCCAGTTTAAATTGACTTTACATTGTCGACAAAAGGCTCGGGCTGTAAACTCCAAAATAGTGCGTGGTTGCATGCACCTTTCACCTTGTTTTCTAGCCCAGGCATGTAATATTAATATTATTTAATATTTTTTCATATTCACATACATAGTATTTAGAGTCCCACTCAACTCCAGCTGGTGGCAGTAATGAACAAGAAGTGAATTGCTAGCCACCACAAAAGTAGAAGATGAAGAGGGGAAAAATGGTGATTGTGCAATGTGAAACTCAAAAATTCACTAGAAAGTAAATAAATAAATAAATGATTTGTGTAAATAAATAAATAAGCATAACCATTGGTGCCATCCATGAATAAACAAGTGCCCCACATGGGCCACCCCATTTTAAAAGTCCTGGACACGGCTCTGCGTAACGATTTAAATGTCAGCCCATCAGTGTGCGTCGGGGTAATTCTTTCAAACATCCTTGAGTTTATCCGTCAAAATAAACAGTCAAATGGAAATATCTGTAACCTGCCATTTAACTTACCAATTTACCAATGAGCAGTAAAATGCTTTTACTGCTCATTGGTAAGTTTGTCATTAACTTTATTACAATTATGACATTTTGATCAGCCAGAAAAGCCATTGCTAAACTTAATATACATTTATAAAAGCAAAGGCACCCAGATACTGAATAAACAGCCAAAAATATAGGCCTTATAAAACAGCCCATTCAATGAAGAACACCCAGACATCACCAAACAGGAAAAGGTTTGGAAGGTGAGCTACAGTAAGCCTTTCCAGTTTCTTGTAATGAAAGTTTAACATGTCATGTTGGGAGGAGGGCAGATCTCTGAGCAGTCACAATGCCCCTGCTGTTGAATATACCCTTTCATTACTGAGGTAGCTGCTACACAAAGATACATCCTGGCAGAGGTGTGACCAAGTCACTGCTTGGCAAGTCACAAGTCTTTCCAGTCAAGTCATGAGTCAAGTCCAAGTCAAAGACATCCAAGTCCAAGTTAAATCCAAGGTCAATGATCTGGAAGTCCAAGACAAATCAAAGTTCTTAACTTTGAATTTTCTAGGCATAATCAAGTCATCTGTCCAACTTCAATTTAATTACGATAATAATAAATACATTCCAGAAATAAAACATCTTAAAGCTTCATTTATTTGCTCAAACAAGCAGGAAGTGCACCTGAAACTGGTTATAAACAAAGTGCTGCTGCAGTTAGCAGAACAAGATCAAACCCAGAACAAAGAATGATTTATGATTTTTGTCCATGTCGGGCCACTTTTGTGCTAAAATATCAAATATGCTCAAGTCATCATCAAGTCAACAGATGCAAGTTGATTCAAGTCGCAAGTCATTGGCATTCAAGTCCAAGTCAAGTTGTATGTCTTTATAGATTTTATCAAGTCAAGTCAGAAGCCATTAAAACAATGACTCGAATCTGATTCGAGTCCAAGTCATGTGACTCAAGTCCACACTCTGCATCCTGGCTAATGCTAATGATGACAGCATCTATTGGGAGTCATGCTTTTGTGTTTTCTGCTCCTTAACTTTGGAATGAGCTTCCTCTTGTGGTGGGAGCCCTGCTCTATTGCTCGTATTGAATCAAGATTAAAGGCTCACTTTTTAGTTTGGCTTTTGACATTTCATGTTTAATGTTGTGTGCTCTTGGCTGTGATTTGTTTGATGTGTGTTATTGTACTGCCACTGTCTTTTTTCCTGCTCTTTGTACTCCTTTATGAACCTTTACTCCTCTGCTTTAATCGTTTTGTACAGCCATGCTGAGTGATGAGGTGCTTTAGAAATAAAACTGACTTGACTAAATGACTTGTTCACACACCTCTCAGTATAAAACCTCATAAAACTGCAGAGATATTGTTTGCATTTAATTTTATCAACATAAATGAGTTTCCTATATAAATAAAATGATGCAATAGCGTTTTCTACAGTAGCTAAAAATAGATGATGTAACATGGCAATGCATTGTGGGATGTAGTCCTAGACAAGCAAGCGTGTATTTTGCATGGGTGCTTATGTGTCTGAGTCAGCCCACACATCTCAAAGTTGTATTTTTGTCTCCTAAAGATGTTCAGACATGTTTTATCCTTTTTCCCAAGCCGGATATGACACATGACCACATCAAACAGCTGGAAAGGGAAACGGGCCGAGCCAAAGACAGAAAAGGCAGAGCGGTGGCAGTGTTTATGTGGATGAGTGGATTATCATTGTGGGGGGCAGATCAAGGGGTGCATGTGTATTTGTTCCAGATATTTTGCAGGTGGGAAAGGTTATATTTCCAAGAATAATGAGCTGATACTAGCAACACTCTCAGATGTGGAGTTGTCCAGGATGCAGGCGTGCTAACGAAGAAGTTCAGGTGAACAGCTCGGCCAAGCAGCATCCAAACATGGACAAAAAAGGCTTTGGACCGGAGGTGGGTGGTATGTAAAAATAGTGACATAAATAATAACCTAAGAGTAAAAAAAAAAAAAAAAGAACTTAGAGAAAATGTTCCTTGAGCACTGTGAGTAACAAGTAACAGAGTATAAAAGTTTACATTTTGTGTCTGCCGGGTTGTTTTTAATCGACGTCCAAGCGCTCTGTCCGTGTTTTTTCAGTTGGTAAATGTGCTTTATCCGTCTAGCATCAGCACCCAGCAGCACTTCGTGGTGACATCAACTGTAGAATATGCCATTAGTGACATTTACAGATAGAATTTGCTACCTTTGGTTAGAAAATGACTAAACGTTCTCACAAAACAGCATATTTGTCTGTTTTCCTGCTTAAAAAAACTTTTAGAACCTTTAGGCAATCAGTTCCTTTTAGATAAACACCAACCTGAAAAGCGGAAGATTCCCAGGTTTGGGTTTGCTCCAGCTGAAGTGGGAAGGCACTGGAAGGAAGAGCTCCGCTAGTACACCTTGCTCTTGTTCCTCGCCTCTATTCTGGTATGACTGAAGACCAGGGCCTCCTTGACCAGCCAAGAGGCACAGATTACTTCCTGATGTTCTTCTGGTTTTGGAAGGAACATCAAGCTCCTGACAACCAGAAATAAGGATGGTTCCGAGGGCAGTGGCGGGGCTTCCCAACCAGGTATCTTCTGTCACACTGCCCCTTGGAGATGTTCCTGGTGTGGGACTCGCTGAGGGTGAGCAGGCAAGAGGGTCAGCACTGGAGTGAGGTCTCTTCCCACAAGGAGATGTTGGTCTGGACGATGGCCTAAAGGAGGACACCGTCATCATTAACGAACTACGTAATGGTGCACCAAACAGCTACCACTAACAACATCTACAACTGTATTTTAGAAATCCTGACATCCTTTGTTATATAAACCTGTTTCTCACAAGGTCTCACGCCTAATAGGCAAAAAAATGTCTTTTAAATTAAGAATAAAAATTGTTGTAATTCAAACACGTCATAATAGCTTTAATTAGGTTTCAAGAAGCTCATTTAGGGACAAATATTTAGTTTTTTAAATACATTTTTATTTTATGTTTTGAAATGGTTATGCGCCCATGTTAGCTTCAGTGTTGTAGGGGTGGTAGGTCACTGACCTGCAGGGCCAAGTGTACTAGCCCATGTGAACGTTGTGGCCGGTTCATTCATTTTTTTGCATTTCTGTACTTTGTTCAGGTTCTTTACTAAATGAATCCTTGGAGACAAAGTTCACCAGTATGTAAAATAGTGTTTAACCCTTAACAGAAGAGATTAGCCAGGTTAGGCTTCAGAATAAAACCGTCATGTATCAGATGGCCCTGGAACTGTATTCATCATCATCATCAACAACAACAACAACAGCGTGAGTCGTTTCAGGTTTACACCGGAGACACAAACCTGTTATGGGAAAACCAACAGAGCCCAGAAAACACTAAAAGTCCACACATTAGTGCAACAAAAGATTTTATTTTCATTCAGCTCATATTTCAGTTTTTGATTATTCATGTTTGAAAAAGTAAACATTTAACTTTGAAGTGATGCAAACACATTAAAAGTACTGATACTGATTCCAGTATCGGTATCGGTAAAAGTTAACCGATACCAATGCAGTCGCTTGAAAATGGCTTCACTGTAACTTGTCATTTCTGTTCACCTAATATCTTAGTTTTGTGATGATTTCTATTCATATATTTTACTTTTTATCTACCTCACAGTCTTTTCCTGTTGAAAGCAGAGAAGAAAATAAAATCTGAATTCCAAATCATTGCATTTTTTTTTGTGTGGTAGAAGTTTCGGTAATCGATATCGGCGAGTACTCAGATCCAAGTATCTGCATCATATCGGTTTGGAAAAATTAAAAGCTTAGGTTCACCGTTTTGATACAAAATTCTTCCTTCCTGTTAAACAACCAGCCTCTGTGGGTCTTCCTCCTAACACACAGGGAAAAGCTTTCCATATATTTTTTCCTGGTGTGAACATTAGACTCACCTGGAGGTGGGCCGGCGGTTCAGCCAGGTCTCCTCGGTGACACTGGGCTGAGGGGACTGGGAAGGTGACTGATGTGGCGACAACACAGGGCTGAAAGGTGAAGGATGCTGGTACTTCTGCTGCCACAGTTCCACCCCAAATGCTCCACCTCCACATCCTGGTGAACCCAGAGCCAGGAGGGCAGCATCCTGTGGTTCCCCCTCCTCTTCTTCATAAACATGGGAGAATGACTCACAGGAAGTGAGGTCAGAAATCCAGCTCCGAGAGGACAGGCTGCTGCAGGGACTCAGGCTGAGTGCCGTCTCCCGGTAACAGGAGTCCAGAGGCAGGTAGAGCTGATCTCTGGGCCAAGATGGCTCACAGTAGCCCCCCTCTGCACCACCAGCTGCCAAAACCTCCAAGGTACTGTCAGCCTCCACATGATTGTTGTGAGTGATGGTGGTGATCTGGATGCTGGGGCAGTCAAAGGCCCTGGGGGTTAGCTGGGTGTCATGGTAAGGGCCCTGAGACTGGAAGCCAGCAGGCTGGTCTTCGTTTGTCGAGAGACAAAATGGAGTGTGACGATTCAGCTCCTGGTGCAGAAGTTGCCCAACATGAGACTGTGTAGTGTAAGTAGCCGTCTTCACATCCAGATCTGTAACAAAAGACCCGAGGTGTAAATCAAAGCACAGTTAACCAACATTTCCCAAAATAACTACGTTGTTGCTTTAAACACCGTCTTTAAACTGATTTTATTGCTGAGCAGGTATGAGGCACAGTTAGATTCCTCTTCTGCTGCTGCGTTTACTCTGAAGCTCACCTGCTCCGCTCCATCAACATGCAACTGATGACTTTTGACCTTTAAAATCACATTCAACTGGATCAGAACCTTGAGCAGAAGCGCAACATTTTTCTCTTTTCCTTTATAACCAGAGTAATCTGGTGGGTCTTTTATTCTATTGTTTGATTAGTTATGCATCTTGGTTTGTTTTCAGCAGTGTTTACATGGTTTTATAACAGTCATGTTAAAAGTGTTTATATTAGCCAAGCCATCCTACGTATGTAACTATATAGTCTGGCCACAACCCGTAGACAGAGCTCGGCGGTCTTTCAAACTGTCTCATGCAACTGGACCAATCAGAGCATAAAACAACGTAATGTACTCGTTGCTACAGAAATTATTCAGCGGCGCAGTCCATCTTACAAAGAAGAAGCAGAAAATAAATCCTTGTTCAAATAAAGGCCTTAAAACACACATCAGCTCATGTCTGAAAGAAGAGCCCAAGTCTAAATAGTCCAAAGTTGATGCCAAAGAAGTTTCAAATGTTCCTGAAACTACACCATGTTTGTAGTTTTTCCACAGTCAGAGCTCTGGTGCTAAGCCAAACATCTCTCTGCAAACATAGATCTCCGTGATTGGCCAGAGACCTAAAGCTGTTTTTCCTAATGGTGGACCTGCGGAGGCTACGATGGAGCGTAGCTAGACCGACCTGCAGAACAAAACCTTTTTGCTATGGTTGGTCTAGTTTCTGTTTTCAGAATGAACTGCTAAACAAGTAACTGTAACTGGAATCTGATTTGGGCATGGCCTGTAGCAGCTGGCTTAAGAAAAGTATTCAAAGCAGCTCTGTTGCTTTTTTTAGATACACCAGCATAGTTTATCACCATGTTACCAAAGACTACAGCGGACCAGAAGGATTGTAAACATACCGCTGGTCCTGAAGGAGTCAACTACCAGCTAGTTTTTGTTCAATTATGTTCTGATAGATCTAGCTTTCTGGCTGATTCTATAGTGTTATGACTAGGGATGCACAGATGGATCGGCATTTGATCGTAATCGGCCGATAGCACCCCTATCAGTTTTGATCGGAATTTTCAAAATAGATCAAAGCAGACCGATCAGCCGTAGGGTTGTCATGGTAACCAGTGTAGCGGTAAACCCCGGTAAAAAAAAAGTTGACAATAATAACCGTCTTGTTTTTAAAAAAACTATATTATCTTGGTGGGTTTACCGTGGCTGCGGTGTAGGCACGGTGACCCTTACCAGCCACCGTATCATCTGCTGAAGTTGCCGGCGGCACATGCGCACTTTGTTGTTTACGACCAAAACTTTCTTGAAGCTAAAGCTGAAATAATGGTCAAAGGAGGAGACGGCAGCGCTCAGGAGGACATTTATTATCCCTCAAAGAAGACAAAGTCGGAAGTACGGGCATATTTTAGATATTTGAAGAATGCCGAGGGAGTTTATCGAAGACGGCTATCCTGTTTGCAGCACGAGCAGAAAAAGTGTCTGTGAAAGGCAGCAACGCTTCAAATCTCAAGACACATCTGCGTGACCATCACCCACAACTCTACAGTCAACGCAAGGCAAGCTAACGTTAGCGTTTTAGCTAAAATGTGTGATCCGAGGATTTGGGTTGAGGGAGAATGCAACGAGTCGCTATATAAAGCAGCCGCAGCGCCGCTACCTGCATATAAACCGTGTCGCGGACACCCCCATGTTGAAATGACGCTATGCATTACGGGGCTCCCAGGGGCAGATAAGAGTTGGTCTCTCTCCGAGAATAATTATGAATTCAACAACGATTACTGCCTGATGACATTTTCCCACATCTGCAAAGCTCACTGGAAGGACACAAACCGAGGACAATATTTTCCTGATATAGGGTTTATTACTCAAGTAAGGGTAAAAAAGTATCTGATTAGAAGGCTACTTGAGTACTGAGTATCATCTGATCTAATATTTTTAAATGATGACATCAAACAGACATAAAATAAGAAGTTATGGGCAAATATTGGTATTTTAAAGACTAAAGGGAAAAATGTAAACAAATAAACAATATAATTACAAAATAACACATTTTAGGCAAAATTTAGACACAAACTGAGGACAATATTTCCTGACATACAGGGTTTATTTAATTGTGTGAAAATGTAGCACGTTTAAAAAAAATACCGTGATAATACTGAAAACCGTGGTAATTTTGGTCACAATAACCGTGAGGTTACATTTTCACACCGTGTCAACCTTAATACAGACCATTTTAGATTAGGTTACATTTCCTTTATTCCCAGATTATGTAGTTTGTACCACTCATTATAATGTTGTAGAAAATTTCTGGCCAATCCACGTGATCGGTATCGGTGATCAGCATTCTTTGATATTGGTATCGGTGATCAGCAGCAAAAAACCTGATCGGTGCATCCCTAGTTATGACCCCCAGATCAGACCAAGGTCCGACTTTTAGCTTAAAAATCGTGACACGAAGCAACAATTAACACAATTTCAGCTGACAGCATGAAACCTCTGAGTGTTATTCACTCCACATGGTCTGATAGTTAAAGTTTAGCATCGACAGACAGAAACACTATTATGGAAACCAGCTTCAACAGTTCCGTATCTCCTTCACAAAGCTGCGGGCAGTTTTGTGCAACACTATTATTAATAACCCTCCCCCTCTCCACCTCTTCACACACCAAGTATGCAAATGTGTCGAAGCACACGACCGTCTGCTTAAAAACTCTGCTGCGCATAGACAACCAGGAAATAAAAGCAGCCTCCAGACATCGTGTCTGTCTGCACAGAGCCTGAAAATCCAGCAGCACCGATCTGTCTGACACCCCCTTGTTCATGTAGACACCTTGGAGCTTCAAGGTGGATAGAAAAAAGAATCCCCTTTTCAAATAACACTTTGTGAAAATGTCGAAAAATAATCACACTAATCTTAAAATTCAAGCAGAATCTTTATGGTTTTCAGACTGGACTTGAAATCAGTGTTTCCTTATTTTTCCTATAATCAATGGATCAAAATCAAATCTACAGCCTAAGAAAAGAGATGGTTTTGTGAGGCTATGCTGCTGGTCAGTGTGGTTTTCTCAGGTTTAACACAGGACATGAAGATCATAGTCTCACGTTTAATGACGAGTGTTTGCTACTATTAGAGGGATTGCACTACAATTGGGGGAAACTACCTACACACAAACCCATCCAGACGTTTTAAATCCTATTTGCACACAGATTTAGCAAAAAATGTTCATCCTGATCACACAATATAAGCCATCATCTGCCACCCCGGCCCCCCAAGTAGGGGGTCAGGTACAGGAGTTCCCGGGCCACTTTTGTGCCCCAGTCCACCCCTGCTCAGCACTGCACACTAGGATCCCTAACCCAGCAACCAGACAGTGGTGTGCATGAATGGTTTTTACTGGATGACCTGGCACCAAGTTAGAACTGATGACAATAAACTTTATCTTTGACTGCTGTGGACAGAAGGACCTTTAGGAAGATGATGCTTACACATGAGAGGACTCTAATGAAGCATTTCCAACTTTTATACTCTGATAATCAGACATGTGAGTCCAGCAGAAAAAACATGGCTTCACCTTAAACGTTCCTGAGAGGAGGCTGGGTCAGATGATGCGCTATGATACAGTAAGGACCTAAACTCTGTTGAGCAGTGAAAGAAACCATGATTAAAATTGTAGTTTGGAAGGGCCCCATTTCTTTAGCTTTCTGAGGACAAAACCAGAAACCTGGAGATTCACTTTGTATCCCTAATAGGTACATTTTGACCAGGCTGATTTCAAGTGTGTACATAACACAGCAGGTGGAAGCTAACGCTGAAGACGCATGAGAAAAAAAAAGTTTTTCTTTTTTTAAATTAGCTAAAATGTAGAAGAGTACACATGAAATGATAGAAAGGGGAAGGCCAAGCTTCTCTTCAGTGTACAAGTAGGAGCATGTACATAAAAAAAAGACAGAACACTTATATCTGGTTACACAATTAATGGATGGAGTATTGCTGACTAAAACATTAGAGAACAACAGCTGTAATCACTGGCAGCCTGTGTTAGTGAGTGTTTTTAATCTGTAAGTGTAAGTGCATCTAATTACAAACATCAAGACTGGACACTTTCATTTACTTGAGCAGTTTCACCATTAAGAAACGGTTGCATCACAGGGTTTCTATCACTTGTTGTACATCTATTGCTACAAACTTCTGAATAACACTCTAGTGAATTATTCTGCTCACTAGGGATACAATACAAACTGTCATAATAAATATGACGTAATCTCTTTCCTTCAAAACGGTCAGTAGAACACTTTTTATGGAAACTGTTATTTGAGACTCTTTGTGGCATTTGATACTTTGATGAAGCGGCCAAAATGAGTTTTCTCTGCTGGGTGTCTGGGCTCTCCCTTAGAGATAGGGTGAGAAGCTCAGTCATCCGGGAGGGGCTCAGAGTAGATCCGCTGCTCCTCCACATTGAGAGGAGCCAGTTGAGGTGGCCCGTTGTATTTGACCAGGACGCCTCCCTGGTGAGGTTTTCTGGGCACGTCCAACCTAGAGGAGACCTAAGGGAGACCCAGGACACGCTGGACGGACTATGTTTCTCGGCTGACCAGGGAATGACTTAGGATTCCCCCGGAGGAGCTGGCCCAAGAAGCTGGGGAGAGGGAAGTCTAGTCCTCACCGCTTAGGCTGCTGCCCCCACGACCCGACTCTGGATAAGCGGACAAACATAGATGAAAAGTCTGGGATGGGAAGCTTTATTCTTCGTTCTTCCCCACCAGCGTGTGAATGGATTGTGACTGATTGTGTTGTGAAGCGCCTTGGGGGGGTTATAGAACCCTAAGAAGGCGCTATACAAAAA